TTAACGCTCGCCAATCAGTTAAGCCTAGTTCACACTACATGATTTTAAAATGTCCGGCTGAACTGTGCGGTTCACACTACATGACTTGCTCTCAGTGCAAATCATGAGTGTTCAAGTTGTTTAGCTGTTCACACCACACAACACAACGTGATTGATCCACAACAGGGTAACTCACTACACGAGTGACAACGCACTACACAGAGATACAACCACGATCGGATGATAAGAGCATATCATTTGTGACTCAATGAGAGCTGTTTCAGTACTATATACGGTCTAAATCCTGAAAATAATCAAACAAATAACGAGTGACAACAACACGATTCTATCTGGTCTAGAAACCATGTTTTGTAACGAAAAACCACGCAAATAAAACGAACCAGAAATGACGCGAAACTGCAGAGAAGAACAACACGCGAATATGGACGTCAGACAGAAACTAGTGCTGCACACTGTTTGCTCGACGATCTGCTCTGAGAAAAAAAAATGCAAATAAGAAAAAGTAAAGATTTACCTGGTGTCCTCAACCCATGCGTTGCTATGATTGGCTGTACTCATGACATCACTGAGATTGAGTCGCGCGACTGCGCGAGATATCTAGCATGCTAGATATTTTTCTGAGCTCGGTGACCTGTCTGCGAGCTGTCTGCGAGCTGTCTTTGATGCGTTGTTGGCTCTTTCACACTAACTGATTGGCGAGCGTTAATCGTCCGCTAATCGCCCGCGATTTGCACGCGATAACACCCTGACTTGTCGGCGACTCAACGATTTGCAAATCGGGCTTAAATCGGGCTTAAAATCACGTAGTGTGAACTAGGCTTTAGTGTGAAAGAGCCAACAACGCATCAAAGACAGCTCGCAGACAGCTCGCAGACAGGTCACCGAGCTCAGAAAAATATCTAGCATGCTAGATATCTCGCGCAGTCGCGCGACTCAATCTCAGTGATGTCATGAGTACAGCCAATCATAGCAACGCATGGGTTGAGGACACCAGGTAAATCTTACTTTTTCTTTTTTGCATTTTTTTTTCTCAGAGCAGATCTTCGAGCAAACAGTGTGCAGCACTAGTTTCTGTCTGACGTCCATATTCGCGTGTTGTGTTCTTCTCTGCAGTTTCGCGTCATTTCTGGTTCGTTTTATTGCGTGGTTTTTCGTGACAAAACATGGTTTCTAGACCAGATAGAATCGTGTTGTTGTCAACTCGTTATTTGGTTGATTATTTTCAGGATTTAGACCGTATTATAGTACTGAAACAGCTCTCATTGAGTCACAAATGATATGCTCTTATCATCCGATCGTGGTTGTATCTCTATGCAGTGCGTTGTTAACTCGTGTAGTGAGTTACCTCCTGTTGTGGATCAATCACGTTGTGTTGTGTGGTGTGAACAGCTAAACAACTTGAACACTCATGATTTCACTGAGAGCAAGTCATGTAATGTGAACTGCACAGTTCAGCCCGACATTTTAAAATCATGTAGTGTGAACTAGGCTTAAACAAAATAACATTCAAGAGTTTCTGACAAAATGTTAATTGCTGCAGTCTATGTAAAAAAATTAATTTGATTTAATTTAATTATTTTTTTTAAATGATTCAATGACTCATTCATAAATGTTTCCTTACTGGATGAATCAGTGTTTTTGAACGAATCTGAATGAATGAAACGAATGAATGATTCAATGGAAAGTAACTTGTCTCCACCTACTGGTGAGGGGATGCAGTGACGTCACTTTCCCGTGGGAACGAGCGACTGCATTTAACAGGGGAAACTGCGAAAACGGAACGAATATCAGTTTAAACTAAAGCTTGGACTCGATATAAACTCACCAGAGACCCCGAGATCGTGGATATCGCCATGCTCTGATGTTTTGAGAAGGTTATTAAAGACCAGATAACTTTATATTATCGTTAGAAGAAGGTTATCTGATTAAGGATCCAAATCACGATTAAACTACACGTGTCTGATGGAGTCTGTGCTTCACACTGCTGATGCCAATAATAAACTAACAAACTGATCCTCTCATGAACATAAAATGACAAATAATTGGGTCTAATCAATACTTGTCAGAATTGAATACATTTAAACATTCTCTTGAATCGTCTGCTTTCTATTTTACCGCCTGAGCTTGTCGCAGTGCATTCTGGGATTGCATTTTTTTATAGATTAGGTTAATGTTTTCCAGGCCGTTGATTGTTCAAAACCTGCACAAATGTTCTGAACAAACATGATTTTTTTAAGCTAAAATTTTGTCATATAGCCTACCATTTTTTAGCGATTTGATTAATAAAACTTTTCTTTCTTTCTTTATTTTTTCCAGTTTTTCATGATTACTATAGATAGATAGATAGATAGATAGATAGATATATTCATTATTTTCATTGAAGTATGCTGGAAAAATGTGTGAGTGTGTATGTATATTGTGTATATATATATATATATATATATTGTGTATATATATATATATATATATATATATATATATAAATATTTATTAGGGCTGTTCAGCAATTAATTGCAATTAATCGCATCCAAAATAAAAGTCTGTGTTTACATGATATATTTGTGTGTGCTGTACAGTATATAATTATTTTGTATATATAAATACACACACATGCATGTATATATTTAAGAAAATGTGTTATTCATACATAAAATATTTATATTTATATAATATAGATTATGTATTTATATATATATATATACAGAATTTAAGCGCAAATAATTCTTAAATATATACATGCATGCATAGGTATTTATATATACAAAATAATTATATACAGCACACACAAATATATCATGTAAACACAGACTTTCATTTTGGATGCGATTAATCGCAATTAATTTTTGCACAGCCCTAATATATATATATATAAAATAAAGAATTTTTAAGCGAGTTTTGAGGTCCTCCATCACACACTAACACTCTCTCTCTCACACACACACACACACACACACACACACACACACACACACAATCTCTCTCTCTCTTCCAAAAACACAATATCAATCACACTTACGCTCTCTCACACACACACACACAAACACACACACACATATATATATATATATATATATATATATATATATTGAATATCCATTCAGGAAAACGTGTGTGTGTGTGTACTTTTTTCTGCATACTTCACGGAAAATCATGAATCACTTCTAACTGCAACACTGTAATGATCCCTTATAATCTTGTTCACTGTGTTTTTGAAGGTGTGTATCCAACAGAAGGTGCGTGACTCAATTATTGTTCATTTTCAGCAAAGGTGTGTCCGGAACCAGGTGTACAAAAGGGTGGATTCCAGCATTTTTACTTTACAAACTGAACGACTAAGTTCAGGTAATTGTGTGTTCCTGCTGCCACTCGACAGCGAGTCAGTGACGGACGCTTCACTCACAGGCCCAGAGGGGGTTGGTGGGCGGGGCTTTGGTGGGCGGGGCTTCGGTGGCCTCAGTGGGCGTGGCGTTGATGAAGGTGTGGCTGATGGTGCTGACGGAGATCCCGTACTCCTCCACCTCCGCTCTCAGACAGTCAAAGAACGCCTGGACCGCATGCTTGGAGGCAGCGTCTTCAACACACAGAAATCAAAATTGACCATTCTTTTTATTTTTATGGAATATTGCAGTGTTTATTAGAAATGATTGATTTGTGCACATCATTAATGTTCTTGATAATCTTAAAACAAAATAACAGCAAATTCTCTTCTCTGATGATGTGGGCGGGGCAACCTGTCACTCAAATGAGATCTACCAATAGTAAACCACCACCATCCAATCAACTCCACACAGACACAATCAAGCCCCGCCCACATTTGTTCTTGTTCCAGAAGCGTTTCACTCTAATCTAGCGTTTAATGTTGTTTATGTGTCTATATGGTGTTTTTAATATGCTTTAAGTTGATAAGTGGACAGCATTGCTGAGTATTTCCTCCTTAAAACTGCAGTGAACCAAAGACTTTGAAATCGCTGGTGTTTCTGACGTCACAAACCACCTTGTAACCAATCAGATCAACGTGTGATCGACAACCAGTGGATCTCTGAGTGACTCATTTGCATATTCATAGAATCGCGCATACTAAATGAGGAGAGGGTGTCGAGTTACATTCGAGATATTTTAAGGCAAGAAGAATTTTTTTCAAGGAAAAAACATTTTTGTGATCAAAGATGACTTTTAAGGGATACAGTGATCGACTACAGGAAGGAAAGACTCATGTGACGGTGTTTCAGTGACTCTCACAGCAGGTCCGGAACGGGAGAGCCAGTTTCCCCTGGATGCTGTTGACCAACACAAACTGACCCGTCCGTCTAGTGATCATCAACGGCAGGACGCCTGCAACAAACAAGCAGCTTGTTTTATCATCATTCCACCAATAAATCACGGCCACGTTCCTCCACTATAAAAAAAAAAACGGATAAATTTACTGTTAAAAAACGGCAGGTGTGTTTGCTAGAAATTTACCGTAAAAATACGGTAGCTACATTTTAGGTTTTACAGACGTAACTTAAATTTACTGTATTAAAAAAAACTTCTATCTGATTTAATGTTAATTTACAGTTCTATTGAAATATTAATATCTCTTTTGTACCATTGTAATAGACTGACAACCACCAATCACAGTGGAGATGTGAGTCACATGATCACCACTAACAGATTTTCCACTTGAAAGTTATTATTAATATATAGACTAAACACCATCATGGTAACACACATGGTCAATTTTAAATCGTTCATTTTTCACTTCCAAAACTTGTAAATTTAACAGTATTTTACTGTAAAATAACATTATGTATTTGGTTAGATCTATCGCAGTTATTCACCATAAACTTTCTGTTAACCAATAAACAGTTTATCACCGTAGCATTTTATTTATTTATTATCATCCAAGATGTCCATGTCTTTCTTTCTTCAGTCGAAAAGAAATGAAGGTTTTTGATGAAAACATTCCAGGATTTTCTCCATATAATGGACTTCAATGGGGTCCAAACGGTTCAAGGTCCAAAAGACAGTTTCAGTGCAAACTACAAACTGTTCAAAGGGCTTTAAACGATTCCAGATGATGAATAAGGGTCTTATCTAGGACCCTTCGAGTCACAACTTGAAAAAAGATTTGTTCATTTTAATGAACAGGAGAGTCACGAACGCGCGTCACAGAACAGAGCAAGGCGAGCATTTGAGCTTATAAAACTTAAACTTTGTTATTTATTTATTAAATGAGCGATCGTTTCGCTTGATAAGACCCTTATTCATCGTCTGGAGTCGTTTAAAGCCCTTTGAACAGTTTGTAGTTTGCACTGAAACGTTTGGACCCCATTGAAGTCCATTATATGGAGAAAATCCTGGAATGTTTTCATCAAAAACCTTAATTTCTTTTCGACTGAAGAAAGAAAGACATGGACATCTTGGATGACACGGGGGTGAGTAAATTATCAGCAAAAGTTTTTTTTTAAAGTGAACTATTCCTTTAAATCCCGATCATGTTCTGCAGTGTACCTTTGGCCAGCGTGATGGGCCCGAAGTAGTTGACGTCCATGACGGTTTTGTCCATCTCTAGGGAGAGATCCTGCACGGGTGCTTTGACCTTCATGCTGCTGTTGCAGATCAGCACGTCCACACACCCGTAACACTCGCAGATCTCCGCGATCGAGTCCGACAGGCTCTCCGTATCGCTGAAGTCCAGCAGAACCAGCTTCGGTGTGAAGGTCTGCGGAACCGGGAGGACGGATAGAAGGAAACCAGATTATCTTTTAATTATCTTTGGGGTCAGTAATAAAAGAAATAAAACTTTCAATTACAAATTACAATTTAAAATAGAAAACAGTCCACATTATTTCACAATATTAATGTTTTTACTATATTTTTGATCAAATAAAAGACTTTAGAAGCAACTTCTTTCAAAAACATTAAAAAATATTACCAATCCCAAACTTTAATCCCAAATATATATAGTAAACTTTAAAAAAGGAAAATACTTATTTTTGTAAATATTTATATATCTTTACTGCACCAACATTATTTTCTGCTGTGTTCTTTTTCATATTAGCCTAGCAGTGAGTGCTTTTAATGATTAATGTCTTTATACACTGCAGTCATAATTTAATAGGTTTGACTTTTTAATAGCATTTGAAAGTGTAACCATTGCTCGTGGCAGTATGTGATTTTGGCCAAATAAATGGTTAACATGTTGTTTGTGATGCAGCGGAGAGGAACAGCGTTTCAAGAGACTCGTGGACATTCAGCTGTCAGGAAATCCTGCTATTGTTCATGACAGAGGAAGAAATGCTGACAGAGACACAGACACGGTTTGAACTAGAAAAACCCTGAAAGTGAAGAGACTGCATGATCAAAGTGAGAATGTGAAGCCGTTCTGATGTTTAAGGGTTAGTTCACCCAAAAATGATTCACTAACACTGAAGCCATCTGAGATTTATATGACATTCTTCTTTCAGATGAATACAATCAGAGAGTTACATTAAAAAATATCCTGGCTCTTCCAAGATTTATAATAGCAGTAAATGGCCGTTTCTGTTTTGAAGTCCATAAAAGTGCATCTATCCATCATAAAAGTGCTTCTATCATCATAAAAGTGCATCTATCCATCATAAAAGTGCATCTATCCATCATAAAAGTGCATCTATTATCATAAAAGTGCATCTGTCCATCATAAAAGTGCATCTGTCCATCATAAAAGTGCATCTATCCATCATAAAAGTGCATCTGTCCATCATAAAAGTGCATCTGTCCATCATAAAAGTGCATCTATCCATAATAAAAGTGCATCTATCCATCATAAAAGTGCATCTGTCCATCATAAAAGTGCATCTGTCCATTATAAAAGTGCATCTATCCATCATAAAAGTGCATCTGTCCATCATAAAAGTGCATCTGTCCATCATAAAAGTGCATCTATCATCATAAAAGTGCATCTATCCATCATAAAAGTGCATCTATCCATCATAAAAGTGCATCTATTATCATAAAAGTGCATCTGTCCATCATAAAAGTGCATCTGTCCATCATAAAAGTGCATCTATCCATCATAAAAGTGCATCTGTCCATCATAAATGTGCATCTGTCCATCATAAAAGTGCATCTATCCATAATAAAAGTGCATCTATCCATCATAAAAGTGCATCTGTCCATCATAAAAGTGCATCTGTCCATCATAAAAGTGCATCTGTCCATCATAAAAGTGCATCTATCCATCATAAAAGTGCATCTGTCCATCATAAAAGTGCATCTGTCCATCATAAAAGTGCATCTGTCCATCATAAAAGTGCATCTGTCCATCATAAAAGTGCATCTATCCATCATAAAAGTCCATCTATCCATCATAAAAGTGCATCTGTCCATCATAAAAGTGCATCTATCCATCATAAAAGTCCATCTATCCATCATAAAAGTGCATCTGTCCATCATAAAAGTGCATCTGTCCATCATAAAAGTGCATCTATCCATCATAAAAGTCCATCTATCCATCATAAAAGTGCATCTGTCCATCATAAAAGTGCATCTGTCCATCATAAAAGTGCATCTATCCATAATAAAAGTGCATCTATCCATCATAAAAGTGCATCTGTCCATCATAAAAGTGCATCTGTCCATCATAAAAGTGCATCTGTCCATCATAAAAGTGCATCTATCCATCATAAAAGTGCATCTGTCCATCATAAAAGTGCATCTGTCCATCATAAAAGTGCATCTGTCCATCATAAAAGTGCATCTATCCATCATAAAAGTCCATCTATCCATCATAAAAGTGCATCTGTCCATCATAAAAGTGCATCTGTCCATCATAAAAGTGCATCTGTCCATCATAAAAGTGCATCTATCCATCATAAAAGTGCATCTGTCCATCATAAAAGTGCATCTGTCCATCATAAAAGTGCATCTGTCCATCATAAAAGTGCATCTGTCCATCATAAAAGTGCATCTATCCATCATAAAAGTGCATCTGTCCATCATAAAAGTGCATCTGTCCATCATAAAAGTGCATCTATCCATCATAAAAGTGCATCTGTCCATCATAAAGTGCTCCACAGGCTCCAGGGGTTCATAGAGGCCTTCTGAAGGCCTTCATGCGTTTGTATAAGAAAAATAACTTGCTTCCGGCCAAATGAACATACGGATTCCACTAAGTCTAAGCCCAACTTGGAAGAGCCAGGACATTTTTTAATATAACTCTGATTGTATTCATCTGAAGAAGAATGTCTACACCTAGGATGAGGGTGAGTAAATCATGGGCTAATTTTCATTTTTGGATGAACTATCCCTGTAAGATTGAGTTCTGTGCTGTACTGTCATACTCACTTTACTGGGGTCTGATCCACTGCTCAGCGAATCGTACAGAGACTCGAGCTTGTCCCAGCTGGGCCCGCACAGAACCAGCCTCGCCCCGCCGGCGTGGAACAGTCTGGCACACTCTGAACAACACCAGACCGACACACAGACCGAGACACAGATCAACACACAGTCAATCAGAGGAGAAACACTGGAGAACACAGAGCAGACACTCAAACAAACTGAAGCCATTGGCTCCCCAGACAGCAACTGGTGTGGGCCCAGATCCGGCCCGCATGTGGATTCCATGTGAACCGGATATGGGCCGGATCTGGGCCGACACTAGTTGATGTCTGGGTCTAATTTACTTTAGATTTCATGACCGTTCTTCATGAATCTTCAATCAATGCTCAAAAAGTGAAGAAATGGATTAGCTACGGCACAAATATAATTTAGCACAGTAAAATCCCCTAAAAATAGAAAACATTAAATAAGACACATTGTCAAACTAAAATATAGTAAATATTATACCGGCTTTGTTGAATTCTGTGGTGAATAAGTGATTAATCGAGTGTTAATGAACCATTACCACTTCCCATCCCGGACACGGCGTCGGTGATCACCACCACTCGGTTCCGCACCGTGGACTTGGACATGAAGCGCATGACCTCGTTGTAGAGGTAGTAGAGTCCGGCGAACAGCACGATCAGCAGCGGCAGCACCATGACGGACGGGACACCCATCTGCGGGACACACACAACACAGTCCTGAAGCCATGCAGGGCTTTACACTTTATAATGTGGGTATAGGCCTATATGGAAAATTAAAGTTCTCTTACGAGAGGTTCTCTCGTATTGCATAAGTTGCTTACGCTACGGGTAAAACCAGAGCCCGTCTAACGGAGAGCCTCGGCACTTCCTATTAGCCCCGTTGTGGATCATCTTGGTTGCAGTTCCATCAGAATTCCACTGGGGGTGATCATGAGCGAGAGCAGAATGAATGGGAGTCTATGGGGCTAAACGGCTAAAAGTGTCTCTTTCACCTGCTTGTCGTTAAATTAACACAGATTTCATTGTTGATTCCGCAAGTTCAATATAGATTATAGGCCAAAAGTCGAATGAACGAGTACTTATGTCCTTTTGATTTCTTACAGGTTAGGCCGGATCACGTTAGCATTCTGCTATTGTGTGACGTCATCACAGTTTTGAACTGATTTTTAGAACAGATAAGTGAACTTAAAAATGCAAAGTGTATTTTCTTAGCCCTCCCTTTTAAATACAACTTTCAAATTACTTGACAAAATATTACATCCTGAGAAAAGTGGATTTCTGGGGGTGAAACCCCATTGACTCCCATTCTTTCTGCACTTGACCGCGAGCGCCCCCGCATGGACAGAGACGCGTTACTGCAGCCAGTCCACAACCCGGAAGTAACCAGCCAGTGCCGATTCTCTTCAATTAGACATTCTCTGATAAAACCATCTTTTATCGAGATATTGAAGCCAAAAAATGATCCTTAATTTTTCATATATTGTCAACGCAGTGCAGCAGCCAGCAGACCTATCTTGCGTGCCCATTGGCTGTCCTGCGGCAAATGCTGCAGCCTCACGTGTGATGTCACGCCCAATGAGGGCCCTCTACGCGCCACAGCCCGCCAAAATGGGGGGTGGCTTAGCGTATAAAAGTCAGGCTCGGGAGCTGCATCACTGATTTCATCATCTACAGCGAAGTTCTCCACATCGCTGGACTCTGAGAGAAGCCATCCGCCGCCGAAACTAGCGACCAGCACGGAAAGTGCCTGAAGAAGCCAGCCTCTCTCTCTCCTTCACTGCCCTCGCTGCCGCCACCTCAGGGGACCAAGATGAAGGCATCGACCTGGCTGACAGCTGTTCCATCCTGGCATCAGACAAATAAAAACTGTTACAAATGACAGTGAGGAGTGGTCGAGTTCTCATCACTCCGCCTCCTTGATCCAGGACGGCGTGGACACTGAGCTCTTACGCCTCCTGTCGAAGGTCATTGGCCATCTCGGTTTGGATTGGTCACCGCCTAAAGAGGCCGCGCCCAATAGGCTTGACAGCTGTTTCCTCCACAGCCGCCGCCCACCGCCCGTTTCCAGATCTGCGCCATACCAACATGACATCATGACTTTTGCGTAAACATACACGCCACTTTCGAGCCACGTGGCGTGATATCTCTACGCATTTTGAGCTATCCGTGTGTATGCATGTATGTCTACGCCATTAACGTCCGCGTCATTCCGCGTGTCCGTACACGACGTCAAATCTCCAATCATAAATGCCATTAACCCCAGCGACGGGTACGTTAAGTCAACGGCGTTCATAAACACGCTGAAAAGCGATAATGCGTCTTGATAGCACGCCAAAAATGGAAATACGAATTGGCGTGTCATACACACGCTACTTCATGAGATCAGTCTGCTGTGCTTTCGAAGTCGTGGAACGCACCATTCTCCGCGTCGCTCAACTCACGTCTCCCAAGTGGACGGCCAAGAATGGGTACAAAGCAATCCCCCCAGTGGAGGAGGCGGTTGCAGCGCACCTTTGCCCGCCCTCTGCAAGATGGCACATATTCATTGTCAATTACGCAAATATATATATATTTATACATAGTACATTTTTATTTATTTTACTCCAGATCCCATCTTAATGTATATTTCTCTGAATTTTATGCTTTGGTAAATCATGATTATGTTTATGATTATTATTTATGATGACACACTAAGACAAAAGGTCATAAAAGTCATGACTTTTATCATAATCATGACATAAAAATGATAACTTAGACACTTATGACATGTAAAAGTCAAATTTATGACATAAGCAGAAAGAAAGTCATAATTATTACAATAAATCGAAATTATGACTTGCTAAGTAATGTGACGTGAAGTATTATTATAAGTCATATTATGACATAAAAAATCTAAATTACGAAATACAAAGTTATTATGAGAAAAGAAGTATTTAAAATAACTTAAATAGTCCTAATTATAACATAAAAAGTAAAAATTATATCATGCAAAGTTAATAAGATGAGACAACATTTCGAAATTATGTCTTAAAAAGTCGATTTTTACTTTTTAAAAGTCTTGCTAAAATTGAATTGCTAAATTATATTCATGAGATCAAAAGTGAACTTATATGATTTCAAAAGTAAATTATGACATAAAAGTCGAGATTATGTCACAAAAAGTCAGAATTGTGAGAAATTATGACTTGTGAAGTATTATTATGATTTTTAAGTCATATATGAGATGAAAAGTGAAATTATGAAAAAGGTTGACTTAAAAAGTCATATTGTCACATTTGAAAGTTGAGAATGACTTAAATAGTCATTATTAAAACATAAAATCTTAAAATTATTAAGGAATGAACTACTAGCCCAATGAATGCTGTGATGATGCATCATTATTTCTAAAGGCTACATTTAAAGAGACGGTTCACCCAAAAATGAAAATCCAGTCATCATTTGTTCTGTTTTAAAGACGGTCCTTCAGAAGAACTCAATCAGTGACTATCAGTGCATCTTTTGTCAATGCCACGTTAAAGTTAAAAGATATTCAGTATTATTATGGATTTGATGAGAATTTGAACTGAATCATGACACTCTTGTCTTCAAGAGCTGCCTATATGAATTAATTTCACAATTATTAAACTATTAAACTGAATTGATCTAATGACACTATTGTCTTTTTAGTGCTTCTTTACAGTAACTTTGTCTCAGATTTGATGAAGTTTGCATCATTGATTCTGTTACTTTTCTGTTTATTACTGTAAAGCTGCTTTGAAACCATATTGTTTAAAGCATTATTGAAATAATTACTTGACTATTAGTTAACATTATGGCTTAACTAACATACCCATGATTTGTTACAGTGTTTATTAATCTTTGTTAATGTTAGTTAATAATAATCCAGCTGTTCATTGTGTGTTCATGTTAGTTCACAGTGCAGTAACTAATGTTAACTAACACAACCTTTGATTTTAATAACGTATTAGTGTTGAAATTAATATTACCTAAGATGAATAAAAGCTGTAGAAGTATTGTCCATTATTATAGTTCATGTTCACTAATGCTCCTTATTGTAAAGAGTATACAGTATTTACCACTAAAGTGAATGGCTTTATGTTTCTGTCTCATGTGCATTAGTATATATAAACAACACGATTCTGAATGTTGACCAAGTGCCTCAACATGAAATGCTTTTGTCTTGAGAAATGATTGTTAACAATCACAAAAAGCTGAACAGATCTGATGACCTGTATATAGAGTAGCGTGTGTCAATATTCCCAGGGTCTGAGACGTGCTCTATAAATATCACTGACACTCGACACAGAAGAAGCTCATATTTGGACATGCGTGAGGGAATAATGTTCCTCATTGTTGCATGTCATGATTTAACCAACAAGCTGCATTTAAACACAACATTTCAGTCCAACACAAGCAGCAGGCACAGGTTACAATGCGGATATATATACATATAAATATATAAATATATATAAATATATATATAAATATATATAGTGTGAACCGCAGGTAGCCTCAGGCGAGCGTAATCTGTGTAATTCTCAGTGTACTTACAGTGAGCGTAAAGAGTTAAACCAGAGTTCAGTGCAAATGTGTGTTGCTTTCCTGTAACCGACTGAAGCCCGTCGTCCTCCTTCATTCAGCTGGGAAACTCTCTTTTAATAGCTTGTGTGTGTGTGTGTGTGTGTGTGTGTGTGTGTGTGTGAACACTGAAGGCATGTGGAGAGGCATCTCACACACATCTCTCTCTCTCTCTCTCACACACACACACACACTGACTTCATGAAACACATTATTTCAGGCTGTCCTTCAGAAACATTACAGTTATGGTTACGAGTTTGGTTTTGGGTTTTTTATTGATATGCATATGTAAAATATTGTCAAATGCACATTATATATATATATATAAAGGATATACAAAGGATTGTCAAGTCAAATACCTTTTTCCAGAAAAATATATTCTTTATTGGAACTCAATAAAGATCAAACCATTTTAAAAAGGAATTAATGTTCAGTTTGATGTTTTGAAAATGCATGCATCAATACATTATAATAAGAAATACTTCATCAAATTTTATATTGTATTGAAATGACTGATGTGAATGTGTGTATCTGCAAAGATGGAGTTTTGTGAAAATGTTGTCTTTATAGAAAGTAAAAGGTTTCCATTTTGGATTTGCATAATTATATATATTATTTTCTTTGGGATCTCCAGATCCCATATATGTATATTCCTCTGAATTTTACACTTTGGTAAATCATAATTATGAGACAAAAAGTTGAAAATAGCTACAGGTATGACTTAAAAAGTCATAATCATGACAGAAATTGTCATGGTCAGTCAGATTTATGAGACAAAAAGTATAAATTTGACTTAAATAGTCCTAATTATAACATAAAAAGTAAAAATGATATAATGGAAAGTCAATATTATGAGAAAAATTAGATTTTAGCTACAGATATGACTTAGAAAGTCAATCATGACATATAAAAATAGAAATTATGACAAAAAGTAGAAATTATGACTGGAGTCATACTTATGTAAAAAGATTTTTAATTTTGACACAAAAATCGAAATTATATAACGCTGGAATTAATTATGAGACAAAAAGTCGAAAGTATGACTTTAAAAAAAATCTATTGTGACAAAAAAAGTCAAAATTATGACATAAAAAGTAGAAAGTATGATTTAAAAATCCATAGTTCTGACAAAAAAAATCGAAATTATGACTTCCATAATTTTTCGATTTTTTAAAATTTCACATACTTAGGATTTAGTATGTCATAATTTCAACGTTTTCCTCATAATTAAAATGTGTATGTCATATTCGTGACTTTTGAGGGAACATTCCTCCATGCTCCCTCAGTAGGGGCCACGCGCTCCAAACTCTCGCGAGATCAGAAGAAATTCCAGCAGCGGCTCGCGACCTCCCTCCATTGGGAAAGCTCGAGCGCGGCTGAGGGGAGAGAAAACAGACCCTGTTCGCCCTGGAAAAGCCTTCAAACCAGGCGTTTATCGCAGACCATGGAGCCGTAACGTCTGAGAGAAGACATGTACGGAACCGGAGGAGGATAAAATGTCAGGTTCACCGAACAGAGGGATTTTTAAAGCTCCGCTAAACGAGCAGCGGGAGAGGCTTGATTATTAGCGAGCTAACTGACGCTAACTAACGTTAAACTTCGAGCCGGAGAGAGAATTTGCCTTTGGGATTAAAAACCAGGATATACCTCCAGTTTTTCCTTTTTTTCCATCACCTCCTAGAAGATCCAGTTTAATTTTCGCTGAGGAACGCGTGAAATAATCGCTTTGTTTACCGCTTGCACAATTCCAGCATTGATTCGCGCAGAAATGAGATTAGAGAGTCGCTTTGTGAGGCAGGCCATGAACCCAACCACATCATTACCCAGAGATCTGCTTATATAAACTACACGTTCTGCTGCTGCTGTTGGACTAGTCCGCAAAGACGGGAGATATCGAGGTGTAAAAAAAGCTGCTGATCATGATTTGCGTGTCAAGAATCGGATGAAAGAGCATCGGGATTATTACGGTCTTCTTGTCGCTGTTGGGATTTTGAGACGCGCACAAACACAGGAATACGATGTCGAGTGCGAAGGAAAACACGTGTAGGAAATTTCAAGCGAACATTTTCAACAAAAGCAAATGTCAGAACTGCTTCAAGCCTCGAGAACTGCATCTTCTGACGGACCAGGATCTCAATCAGGTGTGAACGCGTTTCAGTCACTCGCTTCACTTCGAATTCTCTCTGTGAACAAGCGAATTATGGAAGCCCGTATTAGAAAATAGTTCATAATTATGAAACAGTGACATACTAATATGAATAGGAGATGAAAATTCGAAGTGGTTTTTATACTAAATTAAACTGAATTTCTCTGTGATAATCTCACAATTATGGCAGTAAAAATATGACAAATTTAGATTTGTCATAATTAGATGAAAATGGTTCGATATGGTAACATAGGAAATCGAAATTCACATAAATTGACTTATGTTAATTTCAACTTTATTCTCATAACTATATGACTTCATTTTAATTGTGATTAGTAAGGCATCATTTCGACTATTATCTCAATTATTATTACTCACAATATGTCAATTTCATCTCATAATTATGACTTGTCAATTTCGACTATAATCTCATAATTGTGACTTGTGGCAGAAAGAAATCGGTGAAAATTATAATTTGGTAAAATGCAGTAGTGATCATGTTTGCAGTGAAACTGATTATTGATTTCATTAGCTGACAGCTCTTTATTGATCAGTTTGCAGTCACCACTAATCAGCCTTTTGCTAAATCAACACCCCGTTTTGTTTAGAAAGGGTTTGGCCTAGTGTGTCATGACTCAAGGCTTTTTACTGTATAGGAAAATATATTGTTTATTTACCCAATATATTTATTTAGTCTATTTGAGTATTCTGTTGTGGCTTGGAACGTTTGGAACATTGTATCAGCCAATCAGGAGCCAGCAGAGCTCCACTCCTGAGTTCTGATTGGTCAGAACCACGTTCCATTCGTGCGAAAATTCCAATCTCTGCTTATTTTCGAACAATATCTTCTAGTGTATTAATCCATTAGCCTAATTTGTTAAAGATAGTAAAGTTTTTAATTAAAAGAAAATATGTTTAATATTGTGTATACTTAACCGTTCAAAGCAACAATATATACGAAATATAACCAGCCTGCGTTACGTTTCATGGATCACAGTTGAAATGTTTTGTTTCCATTTTGTTAATTAAGTTGTTTCAATATGTTATTATTCATACAGATCTCAAAACTTCAACTTTTTACGACCATTTAGATTTGGGTCATTCCATGCCAACTCAACCAGAAGTCCCCGAGCCAATTATTTTTTGTCTGGTGAAAGAAATGCATAAATGAAGCAGAAAGCCAAAATATTAATGTCACGGATGTGTATTGACTGAGTAATCCACTATTCTGGAGAGAGGAGAGTCAAAATGACAGTTTTCACGTGAGATTTGGAGCCAAATTACAGGGATCTAACGAATGTAGAAACATGAAAACATTGTTTTATTTCTACACAGAGATTGGTGTGTTTTATGCAATTCTGATAGAGGGAAACAAGATACATGTGTAGTTAACTGGTGTAAACATTATATGTATTCTATATCTTTAAGTGCAAAAAGCATCAGTTTAGTTTTCAGTAATGGGTTTCAAAGTTTCTGAAATTTGGTTCATTTGACATGTGATGTTTCAATGTTCTCAATGTTTCACACACACACACTTGAGGGGAATATGTAAGAAGGCATTATTTTCTGCTAGAGCGCTTTAGAGGAAACTTTTAATTAAGCCTCTGGTTATAATAACTAGTGTTTTTCAGGATTACAGGCACTTTATGAGTTTGTTGTTGGAGGAGATTGTGAAATAAGTGGCCATTTCGATTCGCCACACGTTTTTAGATGTGTGTGTTAGAGAGATGAACTGAAGTTGGAGTTCATTTGACTATATTTCCATTTTTAGCTCTTGAAAGAGAATGATGAGAGGAAAAGTTTCAGACCATAAGGGTTTGTTGTGTGTGTGTGTGTGTGTTTAATTGATCCCATACTTGTCAAGTGACGTCAGCATCCTCCAGCTTGTGTGTGTGTTGTGGTTTGAGTGAGATTACCCGCGGTTAACCCTTTCTGTGCCAGATTCATAAGTCATTGTTATGGATTACATCACTCACTAATCCCGCTATGACCGTAAACCGTTAATAGCAGCTCTGATATTGTGTAACGTGTCAGTTTATTTTAGTTTTGACACCGTATTATCAGATTAGACAGCTAATTACACCAAGAACATTCCCCATTATCTTTGTCAAATGGCTTCAAAGTTCATAAAGATATTGTGAAATAAATCCATACGAATCGAGCCGTTTAATCTTTATATTGATGAGCAGATTTCATTCAGGCTTTACAAATATATAGTCAAACCGAAAATGTATTCAGGCACCAGTTCATTTTCATTTCTGGAAGTGAGGAGAGCAAAATAAAGTAAACTGTGACGCATTACACCCAAATATTCTTCAAATTTGGGAGCAAAAGTGATTCCTCCAGTTTGAGCTGATGATGTTGTGCTGAAGTGTGTTTTCTGCTCTTTTTACACACACACTGAACGACATGAAGCATTGCTTGGTCACTGGTTGAGCTAAACTGGTATTATCTAATTGTGTAGTTAAATTTACCAGCTGACAGATATTCAACATAATTCATGTGTGAGAGTCCAACAGAAGGACGGACAAAACCAGTCACATATCAAACACTGATCTGAGAACTGAGTTCATATTTATAAACTAGAGCCAATAAATTGATAATGTGAGAAAGTGTGACACCAGAAATGTTTTCAGGCGTGCCATAATCAAATCTAATATTCTTTTTCCTGGCAAAGTAGTATATTCCATTCTCAATTGTTTGCATCCATTTTGCCATGACTGATTTTGGACTTTCAGACTGTTTGCCTTATTCTGTTGATGGGTGAATCACTGTCATACTAGTTTTCAGTCAGTCAAATTGAGAGAGAGAGCCACTTAAAGGGATAGTTCACCCAAAAATATATATTCTGTCAAAAACCAACAACAAAAATAACGACTTTGTTCAACTATTCAGAGTTGACAGTTTTGGGTGAACAAACCCTTTAATCAGCCAAACGGTTGACCATTGTGAATCTATATAATGTATATGCAAAAAATCACAAGTTAGTTCCCTAACCTGTTCCTCTCTATCTCTCGCAGAGGAAGTTTAATTTTTTATATATATATACGCTGATGTTTGAGTCGAACGGTTGCTTTGAGGAAATGTTGGCAGCGTGGATCTTACCCAGGGGGAAATGCTCTCAAAATACTGTAATTTTCCCTGACTTGTTTCTGAAGTGTGTTCAGTCTTGCCTTCTCTCGAGCGAGCGCTGTGGATCGACTCGTATCTCACACAGCAAAACTGTGGCAGTGACTGTCAGTTTTCTAATAATCACAAATATTTGCATTATATTAAATCATAATAATATATCCACTGCCGTTCAAAAGTGTGGGATTATTACGATGTTTTATGTTTTTAAAAGTCTCTTCTGCTCACCAAAGCTGCATTTATTTCATTAAAAATACCAAACAGTGATATTATGAAATGTTAAATAGCTGTTTAATATACAGTAAAGTGTAATTTATTCCTGTGATCAAAGCTTTATCATCATTACTCCAGTCTTCAGTGTCACATGATCCTTCAGAAATCACTCTAATATGAGGATCTGATGATCAACACACAGTTATGATTATTTACAATAATTTTTTCAGGATTCTTTGATGTTTTGGGTGGGAATTAGGGATGGGCAACGATTAATCGCGATTAATCACATCCAAAATAAAAGTTTGTGTTTACATGAATGATATGTACGTGTGTGTGGTGTGTATAATTATTTTGTATATATAAATACACACACCTGCATGTATATATTTTAGAAAAATGTGTTCTTAATATATCAAATATTTATATTTATACATAATATTAATTATGTATAAATATATATAAAGTAGTGTTGTCACGGTACCAAAATTTCAGTATTCGGTACCGATACCAGTTAAAATTCACGGTTCTCGGTACCAATTTCGGTACCAAAGCTTAGTTTAAATTTACATATATTTAAGTGTTTATCACGGTTACAAGTATGGAAACTGTACATTCGTATTATAAACACTTTAGAAAAAGATTAGATAAAATGACCTAAAATAAACAATAGTATACACTAACACATTTTTAAAGTTGTTTGTAAAGTTGTAAAAATATATTGTTCACTCAATGTGTTGATAACTAAGTAATGTTTATGAATGGTATCTTTGTAGCATTACCATAAAACATGTTTTATTTGACTTGACTGTCCTTTTATTAATCTAAAACTGCATTCATATTTAATTTTAAAAAGGCTTTTTAAACCTGCTGAGTTATAAAGGCAAGAATACGCCTAGAACTGGCACTGACATTAAATGGCAATACTAATACCAGTAGTACTCTGGTGTCGGGTAGATACTACTGTGTTCATGTACTCGTAAAACTACCCCGAAAGCACTTTAGAGGCCGTTCACATGTCGCGCGTGTTTTTTAATGATATTTTTGCGCGTGCTTATTCTTTCCAAAGCGCTTGCTCTCACGCGGCGTCTGTCGTTGCTATGCAACGCCAACGAGTTTTTATTATGAGCGCGCTTGCCTCGCGCCTATATTTGAAATTGCGAATTTGCATGTAATCGGCCTCTTATGGCAACGTGACATTAGCCTAATCCAAAATATTTCCATATGTAGCTCTTTCCTCCTTTCGTTTCAACAAGTGGATTCAGAGAGAGAGAGCCATATCAGCGTTATGAAGAGGACGCAACTGTGCACGTTTCAGACATCGCGTCTAGAACAGAACTGGATTAACCTGGTACTCGGTACCTAGAAAAGCTGGTACCGTAACATTTTTTTTTTTTTAGTACCGACTTGGTACCGAAGTACCGTGTTTTTTGACAACACTAATATAAAGTATATACATGCAAATATTTCTTAAATATATACATGCATGTGTGGGTATTTATATATACAAAATAATTATACACACCACACACACATATATCATGTAAACACAAACTTTTATTTTGGATGCGATTAATCGTTGCCAATCCTTAGGGAATATTATATAAAAAAAGAAAAACGTCTCCAGAAGCTCGATGCAGAAATGGAAACGCGATGGTATAAATCCGTCTGGCTACATTTCGTCTTGCTTTTACACTTGTTTTTCTTTACTTCAGTGTCCAGCCCGCATGTTAAAAATGGAAAGTTGCCTCATCGCAGCGTCCCGGTGTGATTCCCATTCCCATGCAGAGGCGCTTGTGAAAGGAAGTGTGTGTTGGGAAAGTGGATCAGAGTTTCCCAGAGGTCGAGCCCACTTCTGAGGCTGTGGTTCGGCCCGGTGGGTGTTGGATAAGTTTAGACGGGGGGGTGAAAGTTCAGGGCGAGTGTGTCCAGCGCTGATGGGGAGGCGGGGGTAAAGTGGGCCGCTGGGATGAACCTGGGAGGAAATTGGGAGTTAAACGTGATCCGTGAAGCTGGAGAGCGGAAGTGGCCCTTCAATGTGTGGAGGAAAACACTCGGGTGTGTCTCGACTCTCTCTCACACACACACACACACTGATACCGGGTCACAGCTGTGTTTTGTTTTACTTCCAATCCCCCATCTCGTCTGAAGAGGAAAAGGGCTAAATTTGGTCCCTAGGTATCCTCTGTTGGTTGTTTGTTTTTTTGGGGGGGTTTAACAGAAAAAAAGAAAGAAAAATAGTAAATAAAAGTGTGGCTTAGCAAAACAATGAAAGTGCGTAGTCTGCATGATTACAGATGATTCATCAAATTTAAAACTTAAAGCCAAGGTCATGGGTTCGACTCCCAGGAAAAGCAAAAACTGGTAAGAATGTAAATGCGTGCCTTGAAGTGCAATTTAAGTCGCTTTGGATAAAAGCATAAATGTAAATGCTGGAAATAAGATTTAGCCTGTGTTGTTTTAACCCTTATGCTGCATTAGGGACATTTTTGGTCTTTTGCAGTTTAATTTCTTTGACCATTTTGGCTGTTTTAATGCAAATGGTATGAAATTTGGCAAAATTGTGACTTTTTGGATACATGTAAAAAATGTGATCCCATTTTGCAAAATATGTATAACACACACTGTGTAGATCAAATAGTAACACTCAGCACCATAAAGACCAAAAATGGCCCATTGAAACCCATTAAAACGTTGTTTAAATCAGTAATACATGAAACATGATTTTTGCACAAAACATCCTTTCATTTTGAAGCAAAAGCATTATATTTGCATTATATAGTGTATTCGACCAGATGACGTCACTACATATTTATTCCCTATGGGTGCAAATGCACCTTATTTTAGGCAATAGGCAATGTTTAATAGGTGGCCATTTTTGGTCTCTAACGCGCTAAGTGGGATTTTTTGCAAAGTGGGACTGTGATAATCCAAATCTAAAGTTTTCTCTTTGCATTTAGTTTATTGAAAATAATTGAATTTTTGTGTTTTTTCCTCTTATACAAATCGATGGTTTCGCAAACAAAACTGGTAATTAAAGGGTTAAAATCCTGAAATTGAATACATTTTTGGTAGTTATGATGAGGACTGATGCTGGTTAAAAGATTTAACTTGGTAAAAGTGGAAAATAATAATAATATATAATATTTTAGGCAATGTTTAATATGTGGCCATTTTTGGTCCTTAATGCACTCAACGGTGTTAAAAATCGAATGCAGCACAAGGGTTAAAGACGTAGGGCTGGGTAATCGGTGTCGAAACCGGTTCCTGAGCGATACTTCGATACCAGTTTTATAAACAGATAATGTTATAGCAGAGGCTGTAGTAATTTAATTTAATCCCCAGGTATCCTCTGTTTTTTTAAAGCCGCGTTTATGGGTCGTGATCAACTCATATGTTCATTATCTTAAAGCGATAGTTCACTTCAGAATCAACATCTCCTGATAGTTTACTCTCCTCCACGTCATCCGAGATGTTCATGTGTTTCTTTTTTCAGTGGGAAAGAAATGAAGGTTTTTGAGGAACACACTCCAGGGTTTCTCCATATAGTGTCTTCAATGGGGTCCAACGGGTCGAAGGTCAGATGTGAATTTCAGTTCAGCTTCAAAGTCTCGACACGATCCAGCCGAGGAATAAGAGTCTGATCTAGACAAACCAGCGACATTTACAACAAAATACACATTTATATACTTTAACCACTAATGCTGGACTTGCTCGAGCTGTGATGCGACACGCATTACGTCATCAGGGTGAAAGGTCAAGACTCAAGTGTGATGTAGGCGGAAGAACAACAGACCCAGTGTTTACAAAGACTAAGTCAAACGCCATATACAAAATAAAGTAAAACGATTTTGTTGTAAATGTCGCTGGTTTGTCTAGATCAGACTCTTATTCCTCGGCTGGATCGTGTCGAGACTTTGAAATTGCAATTTGGACCTTCAACCAGTTGGACCCAATTACTTCGGTAACATTTCTATGTAGGTTTGTAATCAATTTGCATGAATGGTCTTGATTGGCTGAGCAGCATCTCTTAGCTCCGCCCTCAAACACTGTAGTTTATCTGAGACTGGGAGAGTTCAGGCTCGTGTTGTTCGTGTCGAGAAGACGCTGTTTTCTGAGACTGATACGGTGAAACCCACGCCATCGTATCACTGTGATCAAGAGCTGAGATTCAGATATGATGATGAGCGTTTGCTTTCTGACCAATCAGAGCAGAGCAGCTCTCAGAGAGGCGGGGCTTAGAGAGACTGAGTCTTCAATGGAAGCGTTTCAGACGCTGAGAGTAATAAGGTGATTTGCAGTGGAGATTATGAGGAAATTAAAGCGTTTTTGCATGTAAGCCTATTGTAGGAGACTAAATAACATTAGGAACCATTATAGGGGCACTTTAACATTACAAAGTCCTTGGATGGATGCGAGAGTACAGAATATTCAATTCAGACATTTCAGGTCTTGGCATATTCAGTGAGAAGACATGATCATAAATCATGTGAATCGTTGAATAAGATGAGCTCACATTTTTGATCGCAGGTGAGACGCATATTACCTTTGAGGCAAAACATCTGCTCTATAGGGAAGCTTTATAAGCGTGCCCAGTCCTGCTCGGCCGCGTCAGCTCGCACATGTGGCTCGGCTTCTGAAAGGGCTTCGGATTGATTTGAAATCTCCATTTTTCCAGAAAAATTATACCATTTTTACTATGACTTAAGCTTTTTCTAGTCGACCAATAAATAAGCCATAAATCATAATAATGCACCTTTAAAATATGTGAAATGTGTTGTGAAAAAAACATTTGAATAATTTATTGGTAATGTTTTCTGTGTTTCCGATACTGACTCGTCATCTCCGCCTATATGCTCGTTTCATACGGGTTACATAATCAGAGAATATTAATTTTACACTGGAATCTGTCCGTTCAAATGTAAAAATGTCAAGCTTTCTATAGACACATTTCTCATGTGTGTGAAGCGAGTTTACGCTGAGTTTCGGTTCATTTATGATGCGCTCCAGTTCAAGATGGGCAGAAAGCGCCGTTATTTTACACGTTTTGTTGTTATTATGAGTTTACAGAAATAAGAGTAGACCCTTTAGTCTTATGAGCAAAAATGATGGAGTATTTAAAGTTAAATGCAAGTGACCACAAAATGTTCCCACAAATTCTCACAAATGACTCCAATATGCACCGTTATTGATTGAAGATGTGTGATTATGTTCTGATGTGGTTGCAGGCCAAGCCGATCTACGGCGGATGGCTGTGTTTGGCTCCCGAGGGAACGGACTTCGACAATCCCATGCAGAGATCCCGGGTAAGAGACGTGACGTTATACGTGTGGGGAAAGTTGTCGTCTGTTTGTGTCAGTATCTTGACATACACTCTACACTAATAATAATAATAATAATAATAATACATTTTATTTATAATGCGCTTTTCTCACACCCAAAGCGATGACACAGTAAAAGACAAAAAAAAATGCAATAATAAAAAAAATATACAAAATTTAAATATTATTATATAAACGGCCCATTTCAAATGTTTATGTGCTTCACACTTCAGTGTAATTTGTATGCATTTTAAAAATGTACACTCTTATTACTGAAATGCAAACAAAAAAGAGAGAAAAAAGCACTTGTAAACATTTGAAATGGGCTGTTAATAATAATAATAATAATCATAATTACATACAATTTTCTCAGAATTGTGTTAAATAAAGTCCAACATGATTTAAAGTTGCGATAGCGTGTTATATCAGAATTGCGAGACGTAAACTTGCAGTTGTGAGATAAAAAGTCGAATTATCTTTTAAAATAAGTCCACCTCGGACAAAACGACTCGGTATTGATTTGTGTCGATTGTAGGATAGTGATAGGCTTATGTTTAATGACTGACTTTGAACAAACGACGTACTGATTTTTACAGACACTTGGTTTATCCACAGCCACATAATGTCTTTAAATCTGTCGTTTGATTCATTACTTGGCATATGTCAGTAATTTCATTTAATTAGATTTTTATTTGGGTGGGACAGTGCGTATTGATGAACGTACGATATAAGTTGACGTAAATGCGCCGGATTTAGCACAATGCTAATTTCCGTCCATAGTCCCAGACATAGAAAAATAACCAAAAAACAACCGGAAAATTTAAGCTGTGATGAAACCAAATATAATCACAGATCTGAATTATGTTCATTTGTCAGGAAATGCTCATATATGCTATTAATTTATTTAATTACTTAGCATATGTCATTAGTTTAAGCTGTGATGAAACGGTATAGCTACAGATCTTTTCTACTCTATTGTGATGTATATCTGAAAAAAATGCATGGTTGGGAAATTGAGGTAACAAATGTGTGCATTTGGAAAATAGATTGGGTGAATTTTAATTTCTTTTTGACTATCAATTGACATTGTATATTTGAGTGAATATGAATGATCTTTTCTTTGGACGCAGAAATGGCAGCGGCGCTTCTTCGTCCTGTATGAACACGGCTGCCTGCGCTTCGCACTGGACGAGTCGGTAAGCTGTCCGTTCTTTATACCTTTTGATCACACATTTGCGATCTGTCAATCGAATTGCTTAGTTGAAAGAATAAATTCATGTTCTTCAAATAAACCAAACCAAACACCAACCTCTGTGAATCCTCTCCAATTAACAAATAGTGCTGGGCAACGATTACAGGGTCATAAAAAGTCATAAAACATAAGAATAAGAATTTTAAGTCTGGATTTTCCACACCAGGTCATAAATTACATTTAGCCACATCTAAAATTGATATGCTCATTCAATCATTATCGCAATATAATTTTTTCTATATATATTAGTATATTAAGTACACCATGAAATGTGGGATATATTTGAATTGTATCGTATTATTAGTGTACTGTAGTCAGTATTTAATGTGTTTATTGTTTTTCATATATTTCATTAAGATACGTGCCATCAAAGTCAGGCTACACAAACCTGTTTCAAGACTTGAAACAATATCCCACATTAGCAGATGCAGAAACTAATTCATTAATTTTCCAATAAAGATATTAATTTTGTTAAGGAGAAATGACAAATGTTTGAATGTTCTGCTTCATATTTGTGAAATGTTCTGGTGTTTGTCATGATATGTTCTGACAATAAAGAGTTGTTTAAAACCATAATTAACGCTCTGGTTTCTACAACTTTCAGTTAGGAGCAAAAATCTGCCTTTAAACTTGAAAGAAATAAAGATTTGACATTTATCGTGATAATTATCAGTTTGTTACTACTTTTAAAGAAAGTAAAAAAAAAAAAAACTTTTGAAAGGAAGTTATTTTTCGTAATTTGTTTAGGGCATAAATATAAATCATAATGGCCATTAAAAGGTCGTAAAAAGTCTTAAATTTGACTGACTAAACCCTGCAGAAACCCTGGATTAATCGCGATTAAAATCGCTTTAACAGGAAAAAAACACGCAAAATTGTGTCAAAATTCCAGTCTTGGTTAATATACTCGTCAACACAGTCTTAAATAAGCCTAAAATGTAATGAAAAGTGTGATGATAACAGCAGCCGTACGTGTCTGTCATTTAAAGATCACTTTAGTTGTGAGAAATCAGAATTTATAGCAGTCGGGACTCTAAAAGATTATCAGTGTTATTTTACTTTTGAATATCTTATTCAGTTTCTGTAGTATTGTCCCTTTATTTGTGTCTTTATTATTTTGTATACATTTTTGCTACTTTTTTGGAAGATTGAATTCAAGCTATATTCTACATCATCATAAAAACCATTATCACAAATATTCTTGAAATATTGTGATATTTATAAAATATCACCCACCCCTAATGTATATACTGTAGATGCATTTATAGACCATTTCACAAGATGTAAACAACACTGGTCCAGAAGCACTTCCTGTTTCAGTTTTTTAACACTACATAAAAGCTGCGATAAAATACAACCAACAGAACATTTAAAACTGAATCAAAAAGTTCAACAAACATCTTTAAGATGTTTTCTTTACATGTGAAATAAAGAAAACTTTTACAAACTGAAACAGGAAGTGCTTCTGGACCAGTGCTGTTTACATCTTGTGAAATGGTCTATATGTATAATATTTATATATAATATAAATGAACACATTTTTCTTGAATATATACATGCATGTGTGTGTATTTATAAATACAAAATAATTATACACAATACACATATATATGATGTAAACAAACTTTTATTTTGGATGCAATTAATCATTGCACAGCACTAAAAAAAAACATCCCTGAACTAAAATAATCCATTTTGAGATGAGACGGGCCGAGGCCGGCGGACGCGATGTGAACTCGCAGAACGCGCTCGAGTGTGTGATGAGCCGACTCGGCCGGTTTGTTTCACAGGAATGTGACACGGGTGACCAAATGAGCTGGCTGATCTGCCCGGCGATTACAGCGTTTGCATGTAAACACTGAAGCCCACACACAGGCTCGGCGCTGGAGAACGAGAGCCGCCGCGACCCTTGACCCCATCGCTCACGCTAGCTTGCTTATGCTTACTGCAGGAATGCCCATCACAGCGGTGCGATTTATCATTCTGCTGAGCAACACGTGGCAAACGCTGATTTCCCTGACTGCAGTCGCATCATTGTCCAGTCTCCTTCCTTCATTCATACAGCGCTTTAATAGTTTCACAGCAGAACAGACTTAAGTTATTGTCCAGATAAAGATTCACTTCCGTTGCACAGATCATTAGTGATCAACTCAGTGTTTGTAACAGAAAACAGAACGTCTTTAATGTGTTTTCGCCACTCATTCGCACAACAACAGTGTTTGGAGTTCGAGAACGCAAACTGAGACCGGGTCCAAGGTGCGAGCGTTGAAACATTGTGAAAAACGTCATCATCTCCGCGTAAACTTCAAAAACGTGAACATGTGAAAGCGCTGACGGCGCACATCACGTGTTAGTCTATACACTCTCAGAAAAAAAGGTACAAAAGCTGTCACTGGGGCTCTACCTTTTCAAAAGGTACATTTTTGTACCCAAAGGCTGCATATTGGTACCTTAGTGGTACATATTAGCACCTTAAATGTACAGATTAACACCTAAAATGGACATATTAGCTCATGAAATGGACATATTAACACCTTAAATGTACATATTATCACCTAAAATATACAGTACATATTAGCACCTGAAATGTACATATTAACACCTAAAATGGACATATTAGCTCATGAAATGGACATATTAACACCTTAAATGTACATATTAGCACCTAAAATGTACATATTAACACCTAAAATGTACATATTAGCACCTAAAATGTACATATTGCCACCTAAAATGGACATTAGCTCATGAAATGGACATTAACACCTTGAATGGACATATTAGCACCTAAAATATACATATTAACACCTAAAATGTACATATTAGCACCTAAAATTGACATTAGCTCATGAAATGGACATATTAACACCTTAAATGTACATATTAGCACCTAAAATATACATATTAACACCTAAAATGTACATATTTTTCCACCTAAAATGGACATATTAGCTCATGAAATGGACATATTAGCACCTTAAATGTACATATTAACACCTAAAATTTACATATTAGCACCTAAAATTGACATATTAGCTCATGAAATGGACATATTAACACCTTAAATGTACATTTTAGCACCTAAAATATACATATTAGCACCTTAAATGTACATATTGCCACCAAAAATGGACATATTAGCTCATGAAATGGACATATTAACACCTTAAATGTACATATTAGCACCTGAAATGGACAAAAGTTTATCTTTTGAAAAGGTACAGCCCCAGTGACAGCTTTTGTACCTTTTTTTCTGAGAGTGTAGGTGTGTGTGTTTGAATATGTGTGTGTGTGTGTGTGTGTGTGTGTGTGCAGGCGTGTGTCTTTCTCTACAAATTGACCTAACACAGAGTTGTGCGAGATGAGGGAGGACTTTGTTTTTATTTCCAGTGAGTAGTGAAGACAATAAAAGCTAGTTCAGGGCAATACAGGGTTTCCTGCCATTGTTTAGCTTTGAGAATGCTGTCAACCCTCTTCTCTTTATAGTCTTCATCTAGTTTCAGGAGATTCTGTTAAATTAGCTCAAGAATTTAAGCAACTATGTTTTATTTGTGCCACAGAAATCATGTGCTCAATGTTTTTGAGGATTACAGAAACTCTTTCATGTTATAGTATTGAAATCTGTCGTAAAGGCGGCGTAATTCTTATCATTTAGGTTATAAGAAGCTAAATGGGTTTTCATGAATGTCTTATTTGATTGTCTCTTCTCCTGGGAAGCTTAGAGTCTGTTTTACTACGATATTTATTGAGATCTTCTGTTTTCTAAGTGAATTTTCTTTTCAACTCATTGAAAAACACAACACACACGTTTGTGAACTGTCTTTTGGACCTTGAACCGTTTGGACCCCATTGAAGTCCATTATATGGAGAAAATCCTAGAATGTTTTCATCAAAAACCTTAATTTCTTTTCGACTGAAGAAAGAAAGACGTGGACATCTTGGATGACACGGGGGCGAGCAAATTATCAGCAAAAGTTTTTTTTAAAAGTGAACTACTCCTTTAAAAGTCGTGCGAATAATGCAAAAAAAAAAGTTGTATAATTTAATAGAAATGTTGTTCCAGTGAGCCTGACCCGGCTAGTTTTTAAAGTGTGCTATATATAGTCAGTGTGAACACAAGTTGATTTAGACTCCATATAAACGGCAGTCTCTGATGTCATCATGTCTCAGTACGGCTGCGGTCGTTTCTGATCCCGCAACTCGAGTCTGCCGGTGAGCAGCCATTCATCGAGCTCTCATAAACATGATGTGCGTTCAGCTACGGTCTTGAGGAGAACTATTTTAATTGTCCGACTGAGATGCTCTTGTGTGCTCGGGATCCCAGTATGCCCTTATTAGGAGAAACCACTGAGGACTGCTGGAGCCGGCGCTAAACTCTGAGAACGCTATCCTCTAAAACCTCATGAAATGTTAAATATGCTCTGAGATTCACGTTCCTACACCTACTTCCACAACCGGACACTGGGTTTACAAAGCCAAGAGGAAATCAGTGACCCTACGTTGCTTTCCCTGCTCTTCTTATACGGGACCCTGGACCACAAAACCAGTCACATGTCGCGGTAGCCCACAGTACATTGTGTGGGTCAAAATTATCCATTTTTCTTGGATATCAAGTAAAGATTATGTTCCTTGAAGATATTCCTACTGTAAATATACAAAACATTTATTTTTGTGAGTGAATGCTGCACAATCGTGAGCATAAATGCACAATTTTCCAGATTTTCAAATAGTTGTGCATCAGCCAAATATTGTCCTATCCTAACAGGCCACATATCAATGGGAAGCTTATTTGTTCAGTTTTCAGATGACGTATACATCTCAGTTTCAGAAGATGACCCCTGTGACTGGTTTTGAGGTCGTATCTCCTGAACAGCGTTCGCTGTAGGCCACGGCAGGGATCGCCAGGTGTTTATAGCCCTCAGGTATTCCTGAGGTGGGAGATGTACACAGGTGTGTTTTTACAGCGGGCACGGCACGTCTGGGCACATGTTTACTGTAACACAAGAAAACGCCATCGCTTTGCTATTTATTTAGCCAATCTTCAAAAAGCTTGTCTGGCTGTTTTTAATGCTCCTTTATCACCAACTGGAAACTGTTGAGCTTTGCATCATGGGCTGTTATGGTGCCGTTCTTTTGTTGTATTTTTATAATAATAATAAAAGTTAATGGGTTAAGCTCCAAAATGACTAGATGCCGACCATAAAAGAGGTCCATATGACTCGCGGACTAGATTTCAAGTCTCCGGAAGTTACGCAATAGATTTGTGTGAGAATGTAAAGTAGTAGATTCATCCAGATTGAAAGCTGAAAAATTATTCTATGAAATTTATGGTAATAATGATATTTATGGACGCTTGTTTCCGCCACAGAATAAGACATTTTAAAAGACAATTGCAACTTTTTATCTTACATTTGTGATTTACATCTTTATGTCACAGAATTGGGTGATATAAAGTCAAAATTATGAGACATTAACTCGCAATTGCAAGAAATAAACAATTTTTCTTTTTCTCAGAGGTGCATTTATATCTCGCCATTGGGACTTTTTATCTCACAATTCTGACTTTATAAATCGCAATTGCGTGTTATAAAGTCAGAATTATGAGATATAAACCCTATTCTGAGAAAAAAATAACTTGTAATTTTATGATATAAAGTGGGAATTGCCACATCCTGAAAATTAAACACATTTGAATAGTTTTATAATAGTGAAAAATTATTATAAATGGTTAATTTTTTTTGAAAATTTTATTTTAGTTTTCAATTGAATTTTTTTACATTTTATATATATATATATTTTATTACACGTATTAAGGCATGATAAGCAGACGCATTAACGACAGTGGTATAATGACCCAATTTAAACTCCATTATTATATTATAAATGGTTATTATTTTGAATTAATTTTTTTTTATTTAAATATGTTTTTGTTTAATTGCACGTATTAAAAGGCATGATAAGCGTATGCATTAACGACAGTGGTATAATGACCCAATTTATACTGTGAAAAATTATCATAAATGGTTATTATTTAAAAAAAATTCTGTTATTTTTGAATTTTATTTTGTACTTAAATATGTTTTTGTTTAATTGCACGTATTAAAAGGCATGATAAGCGTATGCATTAACGACAGCGGTATAATGATCCAATTTATACTGTGAAAAATTATTATAAATGGTTATTATTTAAAAAAATTCTATTATTTTTGAATTTTAATTTGTACTTAAATTAATTTTTGTTTAATTGCACGTATTAAAAGGCATGATAAGCGTATGCATTAACGACAGCGGTATAATGACTCAATTTATACTGTGAAAAATGATTATAAATGGTTATTATTTAAAAAAAAAATTATATTATTTTTGAATTTTAATTTGTACTTAAATATGTTTTTGTTTAATTGCACGTATTAAAAGGCATGATAAGCGTATGCATTAACGACAGCGCTATAATGACTCAATTTATACTGGGAAAAATTATTATAAATGGTTATTATTTAAAAAAATTCTATTATTTTTGAATTTTAATTTGTACTTAAATATGTTTTTGTTTAATTGCACGTATTAAAAGGCATGATAAGCGGATGCATTAACGACAGCGGTATAATGATCCAATTTATTCTGTGAAAAATTATTATAAATGGTTATTATTTTGAAAAAAATTCTATTATTTTAGAATTTTAATTTGTACTTAAATATGTTTTTGTTTAATTGCACGTATTAAAAGGCATGATAAGCGTATGCATTAACTCACAGGGCCGATATTTGAGTGTGTGGGCCTCCTCTCTCCCCCGGGTGTGTGAGGACCTCGACGGGCCCCTTCATCACTGGCCCTGGGACCACATTCCCCCCCGATGACAGTCCTGCCTCTGGCTATTTGCTCTTCCTGTTTTTCTTTTTTCCCTCCATGCATTGCCTCATATGTTCCTCTCTTATCTAAAGACCCTCAAGAGTCCAAAGACCTCGGCCCACTGCTGCGACCTTCGACACACGACACTCAGATTATTGTTGTGCAGGACAGCTTCGGGTTTCTTCTTCAATGCCCTTCTGGATAAAATAATATAAAAAATGATTAATCTGATACATCTAGGTTTTTATCATGATTTGTGGCGGGAAAAGGGGATTAAAATGTCAAGCGAGTCCAAAGACCTAGCTGTCGAACTTCGGCACACACAGCTCAAATTATTCAATTAATAATAATAATAATATTATTAATAAATTGCGAATTTAATGACTGTTTTGGGTTAGTTTTTAAATGCCTAGTTTTTAAAAATTGGTAATCTGATAAATCTAGGTTTTTCATCATGATTTGTGGCGAAACAAAGGGATAAAAATGTTGTGTTTTTCGTGGCCGTGGCGACGCAAGGTTCTTTGGGTAATATGAACGGAAGACACAACAACAGAGTTTTTCTTCTCTTCCTCCCTGCTGCAGTTTATAACTGTGACACACTGTAATTTCCATATTTGGCATTCCCTGGAGTTTACTGGCAGCTTTTAATAAAACTAGATCACTTAAAATGGCCATAAAAGGAGCCAGGAAAAGACGGCACCTGTTTTACATCTCGAGTCTGTCTGATAAAGAGAGGTTTCGAGATGGTCGAGTGTGAATCTCTAAATCTGCGTATTTCGTCAGTGTTTCAGAGAAATAGTTTCTGTTCACCCTCACGTCCCTCCAAACCTGTTCCACTGGCTCCAAAAATGGCAAGAAAGGGCGACATATTTCAAGTTTATATAAGGGAATCATTTTTATACACGCTGTTTATATGAACCGAGAGACTGCTTTGTTAATGTTCACATTCTTTATAAAATCAAGTGACACCAGCATTTCAAGTAAACGGATAAAATCACAAAAGGTGAATTTAAAAAGCAAGATCTAATAATTACACTAGCATTCAAAAGTTTTTTAGAGAAGTCACGCTCACAAAGTGTTTATGATTAATTCAATTATTTATGCTGCGTTTATGACTAAAGAATACAGTGAAATATTAGTACAATTTAAAAGTGTTTTGTGATACTGTATATACTCCGATGTTTGAGTCGTTGGCAGCGTGGACTTACCCAGGGGCAAATGCTCTCAAAATACTGTAATTTTCCCTGACTTGTTTCTGAAGTGTGTTCAGTCTTGCCTTCTCTCGAGCGAGCGCTGTGGATCGACTCGTCTACGCAGACCGGATCTGCTTATCCGTTACGTATCTCACACAGCAAAACTGTGGCAGTGACTGTCAGTTTTCTAATAACTGATCATCACAAATATTTATAAAGGGGGAATTAATCAAACTGAAGTGAGTGGATGCTTAAAGGAGTAGTTCACTTTACACAAAACATTTGCTGATAATTTACTCGCCCCCGTGTCATTCAAGATATTCATGTCTTTCTTTCTTCAGTCGAAAAGAAATTAAGGTTTTTGATGAAAACATTCCAGGATTTTCTCCATATAATGGACTTCAATGGGGTCCAAACGGTTCAAGATCCAAAAGACAGTTTCAGTGCAAACTACAAACTGTTCAAAGGGCTTTAAACGATTCCAGACGATGAATAAGGGTCTTATCAAGCGAAACGATCGCTCATTTAATAAATAAATAAATAACAAAGTTTAAGTTTTAAGCTCAAATGGTCGCCTTGCTCTGTTCTGTGATGCGCGTTCGTGACTCTCCTGTTCATCAAAATGAACGAATCTTTTTCCGAGTCAATTGGTTGATTCAAAGAACGAATTGACTCGGAAAAAGATTTGTTCATTTTGATGAACAGGAGAGTCACGAACGCGCATCACAGAACAGAGCAAGGCGACCATTTGAGCTTAAAACTTAAACTTTGTTATTTATTTATTAAATGGCTGGTCATTTCGCTTGATAAGAACCTTATTCATCGTCTATAATCGTTTAAAGCCCTTTGAACAGTTTGCAGTTTGCACTGAAACTGTCTTTTGGACCTTGAACCGTTTGGACCCCATTGAAGTCCATTATATGGAGAAAATCCTGGAATGTTTTCATCAAAAACCTTAATTTCTTTTCGACTGAAGAAAGAAAGACATGGACATCTTGGATGACACGGGGGCGAGTAAATTATCAGCAAAAGTTTTTTGAGAAGTGAACTACTCCTTTAAGACTGCTATTGTTTGATAAGAAGAATATATTACGGGACACTAGGGCTGTGCCAGTAAACTCAAAAAAAATATTTTTCCGTGAATATTATGACATGAGTGGAGCACAAAGCTTTGCTTCCAAAAGAAAGAGTAGGTTAGATGTGCCGTTGCAGCCGTGGGGCGTTCTCCCGCTGCTCTACACACACTTCAGGAGTAAAGCAGGAATACAGGATGAGTGTGTGTGTGTGACCTCTGACCTGTGCCCTGTTTTCACACACAGCCCAGCACGCTCCCGCAAGGCACGGTCAACATGAACCTGTGCAGTGACGTGATGGACGCCGAGCCCCGGACGGGTCAGAAGAACGCGCTGGTCATCATCACGCCCGAGCAGGAGTTCTACATCAGAGGAGACAACCGAGAGATCATCAACGGGTGCGCGAGCAGATTACAGCAAACTGATCAACCTCAGGCACTCTCAGAGACACTCATGCTCTCTGTGTGTGTGTGTGTCATTCACACAGAGACATGCAGGATTTGTATTTAGGTAGTCTTAAAGGGTTAGTTCACCCAAAAATGAAAATTCTGTCAGTATTTCCTCACCCTCATGTTGTTCAACCCCGTAAGACCTTCGTTCATCTTCGCAACACAAATTAAGATATTTAAGATATTAAGATCGCTCCTGTATACTAGTCCATAGGCTTCTTGAGGGAATGACTCGAAAAGTCATTAAAGACATCGTTAAAATACTCCAAGTGACTACAGGGGCTCAATCTTAACTTTATCAAACGACGAGAACACTTTTGTGCGCAAAAACAAACAAAAATAAGGACTTTATTTCAACTATTCACTTCCTTCTCCATGGGCCTGTAGTCAGTTAACGTAGTGTGATTGCGTAAAGCTACGTCACACGTAGGCTCACTATTGGCCGACGCTGGTCATGTGTGTGTGATGCGTGTGACGTACAATAACAGAAGCTTACGCTATTAAACTAGTAACCTGACTCGCGCAGAGGGAGAAATAAACCAATAGTTGAAATAAAGTCCTTATTTTTGTTTGTTTTTGCGCACAAAAAGTGTTTTCGTCGTTTGATAAAGTTGAGATTGAGCCCCTGTAGTCACATGGACTATTTTAACGATGTCTTTAATGACTTTTCGGGGACAGCAAGAGTCATTCCCTCAAGAAGCCTATGGACTAGTATACAGGAGCGATCTTAATATCTTAAATATCTTAATTTGTGTTGCGAAGATGAACGAAGGTCTTACGGGGTTGAACAACATGAGGGTGAGGAAATACTGACAGAATTTTCATTTTTGGGTGAACTAACCCTTTAAGGTCAGTGCACACAGAGTCCAAAACTTCCTTATGTTACAATAAATATGCCCTCATGTTGTCAATCATGCTTCAGATCATCAGCATTATGAAGTTAGCTCTAAATGTCTCACATCAACTCGTTAGTCAGCTAGAAAAAATAACACCAGAGAGGAGCATTTTTCTAAATATATACACTATAGTTATTACATATGCATTATAATCTTAATGTTCTTCAATATTTAATGCATATTTGAATAAATCTGGCAAGTTTTTATGACAGCCACCATTTAAATTTTTATATTTCATAAAATCTTCTGATTATAAAAATAAATAAAAGTGTAATTTAAGTGATTCATTCATTATTACCTTCATATTAGGCTAATGAAGCCTAGTAGGCTACAACTAGACTCCCATAGTTTACAGCATTAGTTAAGAGTTTTGATTTCCTTTAGAAAAAAATGCCATTTATTGTAACTGATATCCAAAATAATCGATATTGAATCGAATCGTAATCGAATCGAATTGCAAGCTTGTGAATCGAAATCGAATCGAATTGTGAAATTTGTCTCAATACCCAGCCCTACCTGACTGACACTATAGAAACTTGCCATTAAAAGTACCGAGTTCGGTACCCGACCCCACCGATGGGACGCGACACCAGCGTAACCTCTAATGTCTTTCACCAGATGGACTGAACAGCTCGCGGTTTATCCCAGAACCAACAAGCAGAATCAGAAGAAGAAGCGCAAAGTGGAGCCAGCGACCTCACAGGTACGGGACGACTGGCGTCAGCCGCTGGGTTCGCCTGCCAGATCTGTGTGTGTTTTCCCAAAATCTCTTTATTTTTGTCCTAAATATTTTTATTTTTATGGATTCCGATTTTTTTGTGTGTGTGTGTGTGTGTGATCGAAAAGGATGTATAATCAATATAATTGAGAGAACCTCATTTGAAAATTTGTTACATTTTCAGCAATAATTTAAAATTTCAAAAACAAATCAGAAAATCTGTTTTCGGTTTACTTTTTTTGGACTCAGTTAAGTTTTAATTTAATTTTAGTTATCAAAGTATATCTAATCAATAGAATTAATTAAACTTAAACAATTTCATAATTCATTCGAAATATTTATGGCCAGGACCTGCTGTGATGTCAGTGCCCATGACATCTGTTTTATTTTTCCCAAATTCCAGTTTTCTGGATTTCAATTTGACTTTTTATTTTTTAATTTTCAAAAACAGTGGTAATCAAATAAATGCATAAAACAAAAAATAATATTTTTTTAAAAATGTAATTATAAAATTTTAACAAGTTCTTTTATTTTTAACAAAGTGCTGCTCAAGTTTGTTTAATTTAGTCATTGAGTAAAAATTGATTTTGTTTGATATTCCAAATGATTGTTTTATAGGTTTTAATAAAACATAAAATATTATTATAATAATTATTTATATTTGCATTTAGCAAACATTTTAATAATAATGTTTCAACAACTTTCAACATTTCTCACATTATCAGTTTATTGGCTCTAGTTTATTAAGATGAGCAGAACTCAGTTCTCAGATCAGTGTTTGATATGTGACTGGTTTTGTCCGTCCTTCTGTTGGACTCTCACACATGAGTTATGTGAAATATCTGTCAGCTGGTAAATTTATCTACACAATTAGATAATACCAGTTTAGCTCAACCAGTGACCAAGCAATGCGAATGTTGTTCAGTGTGTGTGTAAAAAGAGCAGAAAACACACTTCAGCACAACATCATCAGCTCAAACTGGAGGAATCACTTTTGCTCCCAAATTTGTATCAATTTTACACTCTATGAAGAATATTTGGGTGTAATATGTCACAGTTTGCTTTATTTTGCTCTCCTCACTTACAGAAATGAACTATAGTGTCCTGCACACACTAGTAGCAATATCACTGATATCTGGTGTGTGAATAACTGTTGGTGTGACTGCAGGAGCCAGGCCCAGCGAAGGTGGCGGTGACCGGCTCAGGGATCCCAGAAGCGGAGAAGACGCCCGACTCCAGTTCCATCATCTGGCAAGAGGAGCTTCAAAGCAGAGAAGCGGACGGTTCCCAGACCTGGAGCTCCGGTGAAATACCAGCTCTCGGCTCACCGCTGCCCTCTGCAGGTGCGGGGGATCCACACACACACACACCCACACTAGCATCGTGAAGTCACTGGCTACGTTTACATGGAACCACATAATACATAAGTAGTCAGATCGATGGCTCAATTCGACTGGAAAGCCTTCATGTTAAACACCGTAATCGATCCAATTGAAAGGTTCGGTTTATTCCCTTTCTAATCCGTTCGGAGAACATGTAAACACTTGATCGCATTGAAAACCGAAACTGAAAGGACTGCGCTGGTGCAATGACATAGAAATAGCGTAATGACGTAGAAGTAGCGTGAAGACAGAAATAGCGTAATATGTAGAAATAGCGTAATGACGTAGAAATAGCGTAATGACAGAAGTAGCGTAGTATGTAGAAATAGTGTAATTACCCTATTTCTACATCATTGCACTATTTCTACGTCATTACGCAATTTCTACATTACATTATTTCTGCGTCATTACGCTATTTCTACATCATTACGCAATTTCTACATTACGTTATTTCTCCGTCATTGCAGAATCTCTACATTGTGCTATTTCTACATTACGCTCTTTCTATGTCATTATGCTATTTTTACGTGATTACGTTAGTTCTACGTCATTATGCAATTTCTACATCACGCTATTTATACACAATAACACTATTTCTACATAAACGCTAGAAATAAATGCTAGAAAAAGCATAGTGTTGTAGAAATAGCGCAATGTAGAAATAGCGTAAAAGTTTAGACGATATTCTAAAGATGGCTGCCGCTTGTTTCTCTGCATAAGGCCTATAGCAGCATGAACTCAATGGTTGCCCCATTTCTCTCCGCTATAGGTGAAGGGTCGATGATGAGCCGCTGCTCGGATCAGAGCTCAGTGAACGGTGATGAGGTGGATCGGATCGGGCTCTTCCACTCGGCTCAGTCCCTCGACCCGCTGTCTCCCACGGGCAGCTCCTCCAGCCGGCTCAGCGCAGAGATGGGGGGTGTCCCACGATGCCTTTCACCTACGCCCAGCGACCCCTTCCCATCATGCAGCAGCCTGCTCTCCAACGGCTCACACATCAGCGGGTCCATGAGCTCGCTGGACTCAGACGCCAGCACCGAGAGCCACCCGACCGAAGCCCTCGCACGCTCACACCGAGCTCTGCCCCCCCGCAAGCCCGAGAAACGCAGTCGACTCCACAGTCCGGAGAGACAGGAGTGTGTGTTCAGCTCGGAGAGAAGGTGAGCGCAGGCCGTTCTCATTAGTCCTCATTCTTATCTCGGGTCATTATGGCCCGGAATAAAAAAAAAAAATCATAAGATCGTAGGACTTTTGTTTACACTTGAACCACAAACACACACAAAACAAAAAATGGGAATGGATCCAAGGAGTTTTGTGGTTGAAATTTAAAAGTGTAACACATCCTTCCCTGACGGGTCAATGGACCCCCATAGGAATGAATGGAATGCTTCAGTACACATAGAAAAACCTAAAAATGCTAAAACTTTACCAATTTTTTTTCTAATGTCTACATGTGTATCTGAATGCATACTGACTTTAGGACCCAGCTCTTTTGCTCCATATACAGCTATAAGGCCATCTAGAGTCATGAAATATCATGTTAAGTATTTTGGTTTTCAACAAGAGGTCGGCAAAGATACCCAATGCAAGATATTTTGTGTAAGTTGAAAGAATGTGAGGAATGTGCTTAAATAATAATTTCTTGATTATTTATTGATTAAATCTAGTAATTCAAAGGTAAATAAAAAAAACTGCTAAAAATTGCTTTAAAAAATAGAGATAATATTATCAAAATGAAATAAAATAAGCTTTCTGGACAAAAAAAAGTAGTACAACTTTAGGGCTTCGAGTCATTTTGAGAGTTAAAGTCATGCTGGAGCCGCGGGATAAAACCACATGCGCCTTATTAGACCAAAAAGTGTTTAGCAGCGTGCTTTTGAGATGCAAGAGCATTATATCATTAATGTTGACGGTAAACACCTTCACTAAACATTATTGCTGCTTTGGGTTTTTTTATACTGTCGTAAAAATACTGAACAATTATTACTGTATTTTTAAACAAATAAATGCAGCACAAGAATCATTATTATTAGAATATTATTTGATTGTAAATTACTCAATATATATTATATACAATTTATATTTAGTTTATTTTATTTGAATATTTTAGTGTTTTTTTGCTTTTAAACACACTTCTTAAAAATAAATATTCAGTGCATATTAAATGCCAAATTACCGTTTGAAAAATGATTGGTAACAGGACTGTATTTTATGTAATAAAAAAAGATAATAAAAAAAACAGGTAATAAATTCAAATTATAATTGGACAAATGAACAACTAAATCACTTAACATAAGTTATTAAAATATTTTTAGTTACAGTTATCAGTACAATGGTTTTTTAAAACCATTCAAAATAATTTAATCTCTAGCATATTATGTAAGGAATTGAAAAAGGCGTCCATATTTGCTTTTCCTCTAATTATCACAGTTTTTCCAAAGCAAGATTACAAGACATTGAAAGAAGGAAGATCTGAGTATTTTCCACGTTAGACGACACGTTTAGCCCGTATTAAACTGAAATCCGCTTGTTTTGACTGTTAAATGAACAGGGAGTCCTGCTTTCCTCTTTGCTGTTTCTCTCTCCCATCAACCCTCAAACAGCACCTCTGACGCACTTCTCATTAAGACGGCTCACTTGCCCCCACGAGACGAAGAATTCATACAGACAGAACCAAACGCTCTCTACTCTGGTTTAATTTGGGTTTATGGGAATTGTGCCACTTTTTACCCAGCAGCCAATGGGACTGTGAGCAGTCATGTGACAGAAATACCTCTCTTACTGGCTTTCTTGTTTCCTTTTAAGGAGGGCTGACAATGTGGTGCATATCCCAAATAAGGGCAAAAAAGTAATTTAATATTTTCTGACATCATTTTGTGAACTAAATTCATGTCTGTAGTTTCGGGAAATGTTTGAAAAACCAGGAGACGCTTTAAACCCCTTCCTAAGGAATATTTCATTTTATATACCGTACATCAAACACAAAACATATTTAAATAAGGAAATTAATACTTTTATTATTAAAGCAAGGATGCTTTAAATGGGTCAAAAGTGACATTAAAGACATTTATAATGTTAGAAGAGGTTATTTTTAAAATAAATGATGTTCTTTTTAAAACTTTATATTCATCAAAGAATGCTGAAAAATAAACTGCATCAAGGTTTCCACAAAAATATGAATGGTTTTCAACACTGTTTTCTTTATTTAATAAGAAATACACTTTACAGACAGAAACTACATGCTTATACATTCATACCCCAGAACATACATGAGAAAAGATAGACACACTTTACAAATATATTACGACAGAAGAATAAATATGATATGAAAAAAACTACAAAATTTCATATAATTATAATATACATAGAATATTACTCCTTTTTTTATTATATTCATCCATTCTATTTTTACTTTCTGCTATTATCTTTTCCAAACGAAGATGTGACCTTATAACATTCTTAAAGTGATCTAAACACAAGCTCGATGATGTTTTTGTTTTAAAAATAAACTTTTTCCCTATTAATAAAATGGTATTTAACAAAAGAAAACTACCTGTAAAATAACCAAGTAACCAAGTTTCAACACTGATATTAATCATAACTGTGTGTTGATCATCAGATCCTCATATTAGAGTGATTTCTGAAGGATCATGTGACACTGAAGACTGGAGTAAATGACACTTTACTATATATTCACATAGAAAACAGTGGAATAATATTTCACAATATAAATAAAATAAAATATGAATCATTTCATAAACTCAAACTTCTATAACTTTTTTTTCTGACACTTTCTTAATTTATTTAACTCCTATTGAGCTTCTGTGAGGTGTTACGTATACGCAGTATTGGTCAATTTAGCGTTTTTCAGGTGTTTTCCTAAAGTTTCTCATCTGCACTGAACGCCTGCTAACGCTAGTGTGGACGGAGGACGAGGTTGTGTGTTAAATCTGCTGGTGTTTCTGCAGCGCGAGCGGGCGGTCGAATGTGATCGAGAAGCTGGAGGCGCTGGAGCTGGAGAACGCCGAGCGCATGGATGAGGAGGCGAGCGCTGGAGGCCGACAGGGACGCAGCGAGACCAGACGCTTCACGCGCGAGGTAATGAAAAAGCTTGATTTCACCACAGGGGGACTTTAGAAATCTTCAATAATGACATATATGACTGGATGGTATATAATAACAATGAGGCAATAATATTTGGTTCAAATAAAGTATAAAAAGCAAGTAATTGAACAACACTGTTATAATGCATAATGTAATATAGATGATATAAACTTATGTACATCATGTATTGTAACGCATGCCTGCAGAATCCTGGTGAGCGAATGGTACACTTTACAACATGATCAAATCCTTGAGTAATACATTTAATTAAAATGTCCACCGAATCTTTATTTTTTAGACCTTAATTTGGAAATGGCAACAACCAATCTCGTGATCAAACATATTGATGTGTTCTCTTGTTTTGGTGTCAGTTTATACATGATTTATGATACGAATCAGCCTTCACAAGAATTAGGCATGGGTTAATAACACAGAGCCGAAAATAAAACAATTAGCTAAACTAGCTGTTTTACGTAAAAAAAATACATGCATATATATATATATATATATATATATATATATATATATATATATATATATATATATATTAATGAATATTTTCTATATTTTAATGACTATTTTCATCCTTTTTTTCTCTTTCTATTTTTTATCCTTTATCCTTTTTTCTTTCTTTCCCTTTTTCCCATTTTTTCTCTTTTCTCCTTTTTTTCTCCTTTTTTCCCTTTCTCTTTTTTCTCCCCTTTTCTCTTTTCTCCTTTTTTCTCTTTTCTTTTTTGTCTTTTTTTTCTCTTTTTCTTTTTTCTCCTTTTTCTTTTTTTCTTTTTTCCTTTTTTCCTTTTTTCCTTTTCTCCTTTTTCTTTTTTTCTTTTTTCCTTTTTTCCTTTTCTCCTTTTTCTCTTTTCTTTTTTCTCCTTTTTCTTTTTCTTTTTTCTCTTTTTTTCTTTTCTTTTTTCTCCTTTTTTTTCTTTTTTCTCCTTTTTTCTTTTTCTTTTCTTCTTTTTTCCTTTTCTCTTTTCTTTTTTCTCTTTTTCCTATTTTCTCTTTTTTTTCTTTTTTCCTTTTTTCTTTTTTTTCTATTTTCTCCTTTTTTTCTTTCTCTTTTTTTTCTCTTTTTCCTATTTTCTCCTTTCTCTTTTTTTCTATCTCTTGTTTTCTCTCTGTTGTTGTTATCGTATAGCCACGCCCACATGTCGTCCCGCTGTCCTTGATCCTCTAGTTTGAGCATCTGATATCATGTGTCCTGAAGAAGGCTGTTTTGCCCAAACGTGTAGATCAACTTTTGACTGGTTTTAATGATTAATCCCAGTTCATTAAAGGCTGTTTACTCTACCACATGAGTGTCTTGGAGTATTTCGTCTACGTCACTTTTGAGGCTTATTTCGAATCGTGAGAGACTCAGTGTTTATGGAAGAGAACAAATGTGACGCAGAAACTCTTAAAAAACAAACACTCACTTCCTGAATCTGACTCGTCTGTCGCAGAAAATCAACACATGCTGTCATGAATAATTAAGCGAGGCGTCTTCTCATAGGACATGGACCTGCAGTCTCATGAATAATTATGAGACACTGATGAGTCATCGAGGTTCTGTAGGTGTGAGGAAAACATCAGATCCTGTGACGTTAACTCAACCCAGAATATGATAAAAGAGCTCAAAATTAATTTCAAATTTCATTGAATATGAAAGTTGCGCTCACTTGGAAAAACTAAAAACTCAGGGTTTAAAGTTAAATGAACAAACATAATATCACCTGATGATTTTTTTTTTGTTTGTTTGAGAACGTTCTGCTGTTTTTCGGCTCTTGCACGCATGATCTTTTGTCTCAATTAATGTCCAGTTTCCATCATGTGCTCTGGGGCCGAATAAACCCACTTTCCGTTTCTCAGAGCCTCTGTCGTCACGAGTGTCTCGTTAGGCACTTTATTCTTCATCTTCACCTTCCCTCAAAGAATTATTTCTTATTTCATCCCAATGCTTTTCATCCAGACTCACTCTCTCGCACACACGCAAAAAATCACTCACATTTGTGTGCTTGTCTGATCAGTGGAGGACAAAACTGCTCTGAAAAATAAGTCAGATTGTTGTTATAAGCGAAGGCGTTTCTCAGTGTAACAGAAGACTGGAGCTGAGAGCGAGTTTGTTATGGTTTTCACTGCTTTCAAGGTCAGTTCAGGGTTTGATGCGATACTGGTATTTCTGCAGTTGAAGATCTGTTTATGAAACTTCTCGCTTGTGGAGGTCCGTCAAATATTATTCTAGAGCATATGGACATAATTACGCTTTTAAATCCAGATAAGCTGCTCAGATATGAGGCAAAACACCTTCAGCGAATGGATAAACACTTCCACACACTCTTGAATAAACCTATGCTTTCAACATCTGCTGTAAGACTCTAACAAATAATAGTTTTTAACTGGGTATCTTTAGGGATGCTTATATCAGTGCCGTATCAGTTATCATCATCTGTTCTATTAGATAAATATTGAACGTTTTATTGTGCATGCTTGTTTCCCGTATTTTCACATTTAGATTAACTTTGCCATAATTAAATCTTCACTTTAAGTTCAGCTATTAAATGAGTCTTTAATAAGACTCATCTTTTGGAAAATATATATATTTTAAACACATTTAGACAAAAGTTTGAGGTCAGTGCGATTTAAAAATAGTAATAATAATACTTTTATCCATCCAGGACACATTAATTTGATCAAAAGTGACAATAAAGGCATTTATAATGTTACAAAAGATCCTATTTCAAATAAATGCTGTTCTTTTGAACTTTCTATTCATCAAATAATCCTGAAAAATAAAATCACAGTTTCCACAAACATATGAACGGTTTTCAACACTGATGATAATCATAAATGTTTATTGATCAGATCTTCATATTAAAATTATGATTTGTGAAGGATCATGTGACACTGTAGACTGGTGATAAATTCAGCTTTGATCACAGGAATAAATTATACTTTACTGTATATTCATATTGAAAACAGATGATTTACATTACAATAATATTTCACTATTTTACTATATTTTTAATCAAATAAAAGGATAATAGAGTTCAGTGCAACAAGTGCAGCGCAAATCTGTCATATCGGCTACATAACATTATAATGAGAACATCATTAAAACAGAGACTTTTATTTTTGTAATCAGGCTCTCAAAAATTATAAAAAAATTAATTTAGATTTATTGGCCATAATATCGGTTATCGGCTTTCCAAATATAGAGTTGTCGTATCGGCGCCAAAAATGTTATATATCAGTGTATCCCTAATAATTATTGACTTATAAGCATCGACACACTTTCAGTATCAGTATGTGTAGTTTTCTGGGTAATTGCTTGACGTGATGTGATGTTGCCTGTGTCTGACACCTCTCTGTGTGATTCTGCTGTGTTCCTTCCCTGTGCTCCAGGAGCAGAAGACGGACCCGGAGCTGGGTTTGGACTTCTACCACTCCAGCCTTCCTCCTCTGAGGAGAGCCAAGTCCCTGGACCGCAGGACCACCGAGTCCGTCATGACCGTAAGACTAGCTCCTGCTTCTCGCTGGACACTGAAGGTCCAATCATGCCCTCGGTCAGATTACACGGCTAATGTTTCAGATTACACGGCTAATGTTTCAGATTACACGGCTAATGTTTCGGATTACACGACTAATGTGTCGGATTACACGACTAATGTGTCGGATTACACGACTAATGTGTCGGATTACACGACTAATGTGTCTGATTACACGACTAATGTTTCAGATTACACGACTAATGTGTCGGATTACACGACTAATGTGTCGGATTACACGACTAATGTGTCGGATTACACGACTAATGTGTCGGATTACACGACTAATGTGTCTGATTACACGACTAATGTTTCAGATTACACGACTAATGTGTCGGATTACACGACTAATGTGTCGGATTACACGACTAATGTGTCGGATTACACGACTAATGTGTCGGATTACACGACTAATGTGTCGGATTACACGGCTAATGTTCAGATTACACGGCTAATGTTTCGGATTACACGACTAATGTGTCAATTTACACGACTAATGTGTCTGATTACACGACTAATGTGTCAATTTACACGTCTAATGTGTCTGATTACACGACTAATGTGTCAATTTACACGACTAATGTGTCGGATTACACGACTAATGTGTCAATTTACACGACTAATGTGTCTGATTACACGACTAATGTGTCAATTTACACGACTAATGTGTCGGATTACACGACTAATGTGTCAATTTACACGACTAATGTGTCGGATTACACGGCTAATGTGTCAATTTACACGACTAATGTGTCGGATTACACGACTAATGTGTCCATTTACACGACTAATGTGTCTGATTACACGACTAATGTGTCAATTTACACGACTAATGTGTCGGATTACACGACTAATGTGTCGGATTACACGACTAATGTGTCAATTTACACGACTAATGTGTCTGATTACACGACTAATGTGTCAATTTACACGGCTAATGTTTCGGATTACACGACTAATGTGTCGGATTACACGACTAATGTGTCGGATTACACGACTAATGTGTCGGATTACACGACTAATGTGTCGGATTACACGACTAATGTGTCTGATTACACGACTAATGTTTCAGATTACACGACTAATGTGTCGGATTACACGACTAATGTGTCGGATTACACGACTAATGTGTCGGATTACACGACTAATGTGTCGGATTACACGACTAATGTGTCGGATTACACGGCTAATGTTTCAGATTACACGGCTAATGTTTCGGATTACACGACTAATGTGTCTGATTACACGACTAATGTGTCAATTTACACGACTAATGTGTCTGATTACACGACTAATGTGTCAATTACACGTCTAATGTGTCTGATTACACGACTAATGTGTCAATTTACACGACTAATGTGTCGGATTACACGACTAATGTGTCAATTTACACGACTAATGTGTCTGATTACACGACTAATGTGTCAATTTACACGACTAATGTGTCGGATTACACGACTAATGTGTCAATTTACACGACTAATGTGTCGGATTACACGGCTAATGTGTCAATTTACACGACTAATGTGTCGGATTACACGACTAATGTGTCAATTTACACGACTAATGTGTCTGATTACACGACTAATGTGTCAATTTACACGACTAATGTGTCGGATTACACGACTAATGTGTCAATTTACACGACTAATGTGTCTGATTACACGACTAATGTGTCAATTTACACGACTAATGTGTCGGATTACACGACTAATGTGTCGGATTACACGACTAATGTGTCAATTTACACGACTAATGTGTCAATTTACACGGCTAATGTTTCGGATTACACGACTAATGTGTCGGATTACACGACTAATGTGTCGGATTACACGACTAATGTGTCGGATTACACGACTAATGTGTCTGATTACACGACTAATGTTTCAGATTACACGACTAATGTGTCGGATTACACGACTAATGTGTCGGATTACACGACTAATGTGTCGGATTACACGACTAATGTGTCGGATTACGACTAATGTGTCGGATTACACGGCTAATGTTCAGATTACACGGCTAATGTTTCGGATTACACGACTAATGTGTCTGATTACACGACTAATGTGTCAATTTACACGACTAATGTGTCTGATTACACGACTAATGTGTCAATTTACACGTCTAATGTGTCTGATTACACGACTAATGTGTCAATTTACACGACTAATGTGTCGGATTACACGACTAATGTGTCAATTTACACGACTAATGTGTCTGATTACACGACTAATGTGTCAATTTACACGACTAATGTGTCGGATTACACGACTAATGTGTCAATTACACGACTAATGTGTCGGATTACACGGCTAATGTGTCAATTTACACGACTAATGTGTCGGATTACACGACTAATGTGTCAATTTACACGACTAATGTGTCTGATTACACGACTAATGTGTCAATTTACACGACTAATGTGTCGGATTACACGACTAATGTGTCAATTTACACGACTAATGTGTCTGATTACACGACTAATGTGTCAATTTACACGACTAATGTGTCAATTTACACGACTAATGTGTCGGATTACACGACTAATGTGTCAATTTACACGACTAATGTGTCAATTTACACGACTAATGTGTCGGATTACACGACTGATGTGTCGGATTACACGACTAATGTGTCAATTTACACGACTAATGTGTCGAATTACACGACTAATGTTTCGGATTACACGACTAATGTGTCAATTTACACGACTAATGTGTCGGATTACACGGCTAATGTGTCAATTTACACGACTAATGTGTCGGATTACACGACTAATGTGTCAATTTACACGACTAATGTGTCGGATTACACGACTAATGTGTCAATTTACACGACTAATGTGTCAATTTACACGACTAATGTGTCGGATTACACGACTAATGTGTCAATTTACACGACTAATGTGTCGAATTACACGACTAATGTTTCGGATTACACGACTAATGTGTCAATTTACGCGACTAATGTGTCGGATTACACGACTAATGTGTCGGATTACACGACTAATGTGTCAATTTACACGACTAATGTGTCGGATTACACGACTAATGTGTCGAATTACACGACTAATGTTTCGGATTACACAACTAATGTGTCAATTTACACGACTAATGTGTCGAATTACACGACTAATGTGTCGGATTACACGACTAATGTGTCAATTTACACGACTAATGTGTCTGATTACACGACTAATGTGTCAATTTACACGACTAATGTGTCGGATTACACGACTAATGTGTCAATTTACACGACTAATGTGTCGGATTACACGACTAATGTGTCTGATTACACGACTAATGTGTCAATTTACACGACTAATGTGTCGGATTACACGACTAATGTGTCAATTTACACGACTAATGTGTCGGATTACACGACTAATGTGTCGGATTACACGACTAATGTGTCGGATTACACGGCTAATGTGTCGGATTACACGACTAATGTGTCAATTTACACGACTAATGTGTCGGATTACACGACTAATGTGTCGGATTACACGACTAATGTGTCGGATTACACGACTAATGTGTCGGATTACACGACTAATGTGTCAATTTACACGACTAATGTGTCGGATTACACGACTAATGTGTCGGATTACACGACTAATGTGTCAATTTACACGACTAATGTGTCGGATTACACGACTAATGTGTCAATTTACACGACTAATGTGTCGGATTACACGACTAATGTGTCGGATTACACGACTAATGTGTCGGATTACACGACTAATGTGTCAATTTACACGACTAATGTGTCGGATTACACGACTAATGTGTCAATTTACACGACTAATGTGTCGGATTACACGACTAATGTGTCGGATTACACGACTAATGTGTCGGATTACACGACTAATGTGTCGGATTACACGACTAATGTGTCAATTTACACGACTAATGTGTCAATTTACACGACTAATGTGTCGGATTACACGACTAATGTGTCAATTTACACGACTAATGTGTCGAATTACACGACTAATGTTTCGGATTACACGACTAATGTGTCAATTTACACGACTAATGTGTCGGATTACACGACTAATGTGTCGGATTACACGACTAATGTGTCAATTTACACGACTAATGTGTCGAATTACACGACTAATGTTTCGGATTACACAACTAATGTGTCAATTTACACGACTAATGTGTCGAATTACACGACTAATGTGTCGGATTACACGACTAATGTGTCAATTTACACGACTAATGTGTCGTATTACACTAGTAATGTGTCGGATTACAGTCGGATTACACGACTAATGTGTCGGATTAAATGACTAATGTGTCAATTTACACGACTAATATGTCGGATTACACGACTAATGTGTCGGATTAAATGACTAATGTGTCAATTTACACGACTAATATGTCGGATTACACGACTAATGTGTCGGATTACACGACTAATGTGTCAATTTACACGACTAATGTGTCAATTTACACGACTAATGTGTCGAATTACACGACTAATGTTTCGGATTACACGACTAATGTGTCAATTTACACGACTAATGTGTCGGATTACACGGCTAATGTGTCAATTTACACGACTAATGTGTCGGATTACACGACTAATGTGTCAATTTACACGACTAATGTGTCTGATTACACGACTAATGTGTCAATTTACACGACTAATGTGTCGGATTACACGACTAATGTGTCAATTTACACGACTAATGTGTCGGATTACACGACTAATGTGTCAATTTACACGACTAATGTGTCAATTTACACGACTAATGTGTCGGATTACACGACTAATGTGTCAATTTACACGACTAATGTGTCGAATTACACGACTAATGTTTCGGATTACACGACTAATGTGTCAATTTACGCGACTAATGTGTCGGATTACACGACTAATGTGTCGGATTACACGACTAATAAGTCAATTTACACGACTAATGTGTCGAATTACACGACTAATGTTTCGGATTACACAACTAATGTGTCAATTTACACGACTAATGTGTCGAATTACACGACTAATGTGTCGGATTACACGACTAATGTGTCAATTTACACGACTAATGTGTCTGATTACACGACTAATGTGTCAATTTACACGACTAATGTGTCGGATTACACGACTAATGTGTCAATTTACACGACTAATGTGTCGGATTACACGACTAATGTGTCGGATTACACGACTAATGTGTCAATTTACACGACTAATGTGTCGGATTACACGACTAATGTGTCAATTTACACGACTAATGTGTCGGATTACACGACTAATGTTTCGAATTACACGACTAATGTTTGGGATTACACGGCTAATGTGTCGGATTACACGACTAATGTGTCAATTTACACGACTAATGTGTCGGATTACACGACTAATGTGTCAATTTACACGACTAATGTGTCAATTTACACGACTAATGTGTCGGATTACACGACTAATGTGTCAATTTACACGACTAATGTGTCGAATTACACGACTAATGTTTCGGATTACACGACTAATGTGTCAATTTACACGACTAATGTGTCGGATTACACGACTAATGTGTCAATTTACACGACTAATGTGTCGAATTACACGACTAATGTGTCGGATTACACGACTAATGTGTCAATTTACACGACTAATGTGTCGAATTACACGACTAATGTTTCGGATTACACAACTAATGTGTCAATTTACACGACTAATGTGTCGAATTACACGACTAATGTGTCGGATTACACGACTAATGTGTCAATTTACACGACTAATGTGTCGTATTACACTAGTAATGTGTCGGATTACAGTCGGATTACACGACTAATGTGTCGGATTAAATGACTAATGTGTCAATTTACACGACTAATATGTCGGATTACACGACTAATGTGTCGGATTAAATGACTAATGTGTCAATTTACACGACTAATATGTCGGATTACACGACTAATGTGTCGGATTACACGACTAATGTGTCGGATTACACGACTAATGTGTCAATTTACACGACTAATGTGTCGGATTACACGACTAATGTGTCGGATTACAGTCGGATTACACGACTAATGTGTCAGATTACACGACTAATGTTTCAATTTACACGACTAATGTGTCGGATTACACGACTAATGTGTCGGATTACACGACTAATGTTTCGGATTACAGTCGGATTACACGACTAATGTGTCGGATTACAGTCGGATTACACGACTAATGTGTCGGATTACATGACTAATGTTTGGGATTACACGAGTAATGTTTCGGATTACACGAGTAATGTTTCGGATTACACGAGTAATGTTTTGGATTAAACGAGTAATGTGTCTGCTACAATAGTCACTGCGTCAGATTACGTGATTTTGTCTCCTAAAATCGTGTAGTGTCTGATGGATAGGGTTAGTGTGTGTGTGATGGGTAAGGTTAGATGTTTGCTCTTCTCCTCATGCGTGGACACCCGTGTGATCTCTACATCTGACACACACTGCTCTTTCTCTGTGTGTATTCATGACCGTTTCCCTCTTCATCACAGCCAGACCTGCTGAACTTCAAGAAAGGCTGGATGGTGAAGCTCGATGAACAAGGCCAGGTGAGCTCTTGGTGGTATATTCAAAAATGTATTTAAAACCTAAATCTCATAACATTTATATATTGCATTTATAATTTTGCAGTGTGAATTATTTAATTAGAGCACGTTCTTAGTTTTAAATGCGTCATCTGTATTTACTGAAGATGAGCCGCAGTTTTGATCAGGTATTCAGCTCAAACGCCCGACTCAAAGCGTGTACTGATGCGGTGTAAAGGCCACACTTTGATTGCACTGCTTCAATAGGTCGAAGTTGAAAGGATAAAGCCTTGAACGTTCCCCACACGCTCTTTAAAGATGGACACATGTCTCAAAAGCCAGACTGATGCAGGATTGTCTGGGAGCAAGGCTTTACATTTCAGCTCTATATGTATTTAATCTGTCATTTATGCTTTTCTGTTCTAGTGCAAGAAGTATTGGTTTGTGCTGACCGATCACAGTCTGCGATACTACAAGGATTCTATTGCAGAAGAGGTAATGTGTGTTTTGACATTCGTGGGTTATCCTGGATTTATTCTTTCATCCTCTTTAGATTCAAAAAAATATATATGTCTTATATATAAAATAATAAATAAATATTTATAATAATAATAATATATATATATAATATAATAAAATAAATATAATAAAAAAATGACAATATTTTGAATGCTGATGACACTTCTCTCACTGAATGCATGTGTGTGTGTGTGTGTGTGTCATCAGGCGTCTGATCTGGATGGAGAGATTGACCTCAGCACATGCTATAATGTTACAGAGTATCAAGCTCAGCGGAACTACGGCTTCCAGATTCACGTACGTCTGTCGAACCATCGTGCTTTATATTTTTATGAACCTTTTGTTTTATGGACTTTATATGTTATTTAATGAACTTTGTTTTAAGGAATTTATAATTGACTTTTGTTTTATAGTTTGGATTTCTTTTATTTTATGGACTTTCTATACTTTTTATTTTATTATTTTTTTTGTTTTATGGACTTTCTATTTTATTTTATTTTTAATGTACTTTTGGGTTTATTTAATGAACTTTTTTATTAACTTCTTGTTTTATGGACTTTCTATTTTATTTAATTTAATGGACCTTTTTACTTTCATTTAATTTTATTTTGCACGTCATGTGCTCGTCACGTTAGACGTGTCTAGTAATTGTACTTGGCTCTGTAACTGAATTCTGGTGTACAAGCACTGCAGAGACGAAAAGTCCAGTTGTTCGCCTGACCACGCTTGGTTCTTTTCATTATTCTCAAAGGTTTTGAATTATTAATAAATCTTCTAATCTTTATGTGCTCAATTTTTCAGACTCAAGAAGCGGTGCACACGCTCTCTGCCATGACCGCAGGAATACGGCGAAACTGGATCCAAGCAGTCATGAAGAACGTGCGGCCCTCCACGGCCCCAGATGTTGCGAGGTGCGTTTCTACACATGACATGTAGCCAACCAGAAAGTGTTTTGTCTTTAACAGGGTTCGTACAAAGTGCTTAAAGTTCTTGAATTAGATTTTTTTTTTTATTTAGTCTTTGAAAACCCTTGAAAACAGACATATTTACGAAGAGGTACTTGAAAAGTGCTTGACTTATTTAAATACAATATATATTTAATTTAATCGGGGGGAAAAAAACACAAATGCAATCTTTTCACGCCAAATTAACAATCTGTTAAACCCCCATCAGACATTTTTTCTCGATACGAAATAGACCAACATTATAATATAAAATATTTTTATTGAACAATAATAGCCATTTATAAACATTGTATTTAATATATATTATTAAATATGCTGTAAGTTGTGTTTTGAATACCTTATATCTCTGAATAGAGTTTAAAAAAATACTAAGTGTGATCTCTGATAGTAGTCCTTGAAAAGTCTTCGGAAATGTTTTTTTTTTTTTGCAGTATCTGTGCAAACCCTGCTTTAAAACATTTACATTTTCCCTATAAAATCTTTCCAGCCTGGCGGTCGACCCAGGCTCGTTTGAGGGTCTCCCCCGGCCGGACCTCACTGCGGACTCCCCGTCCTCGGAGGCGTCAGTGGAGCGAGAAGCCGGATTAAAGAAGAGCCGGGCGAGAGAGCGAAGGCGAGAAGGGCGGTCCAAAACCTTTGACTGGGCGGAGTTTCGTCCCATCGCTCAGGCTCTGGCCCAGCAGAGAGCGAATGAGTCCGACTCCTTCCAGGCGGAGCTGACCGAGCGAAACAAGAGGCGGGAGGAGCGCCGCCGGAGGTACGAGAGCGTCACCGGCTCGGCCTTCGACGGGAAGGCGGAGCCTGATGGCGTGGGTGAGGGTGTGGCCATGGGCGAGGCTCCGCCCCCATCGGGGGAGCGACAGCAGAGGGTGGAGGACGAGATCGAGCAGCGATGGCAGCAGGTGGAGAAGACGCCCATCAGGGACGAGAGGAGGGTGCCTTTGCCTTCAACTCATCCCAGCCGAGACACCTCGGAGCTGGAGAAACTCGTGGAGAGCTACAAGAAAGGGGTACGCCATGCAGAACGCAACACACAAACATGCAGCGTTGAAATATGGTGTGGTTCAAAAAGGGGTGCGGGAAAACAAGTATTAGTATTAGGGCTGTCAAACGATTAATCACATCCAAAATAAAAGGTTGTGTTTACATAATATATGTGGGTGCACTGTGTATAATTATTTTATATATATAAACAAACACACATGCAGGTATAGACCTTATGTAGCCCCGCCCCTTTTCAGCGCTGCGCTCGTTGTCTTTTGACTTCCGGTCTGTATTTTCACAGCGATATTTCATAGGAATGAATGAACTGCTCGTAAAATAATCCCCGTCGACATTTGTTAAGACATCTGCTTTCCGATGCTTATGATAAACATTACAATGCTCATGATAACTTTTGTGAACTCTACAATAAGTAAATCCACTTCACCAGCTAATTACTCCTCGACAGCAATGCCATAGAAATATACAGAGTGAACGCAAAAACGGAAGTTCAAAGACAATGATCTAAAGATGACGGCGCCCACGTTTCTCTGGTGCATTAGGTCTATAGTTAAGAAAAAAATATTATTTATATATAAAATATGTATATTTATATATAATATAAATTATATATAAATCTATATACATGAAAATATTTCTTAAATATACACAAGTATGCGTGTTTTTATATATATAAAATATTTATACACAGTGCACCCACATATATTATGTAAACACAAACTTTTATTTTGGATGCGATTAATCGTTTGACAGCCCTAATTAGTACATGAATCGGGATTCTATCTTCAACCGATTTGTATCGATTCACAAATTTTCAAAAATCGATTTTTTAAAAATGTTAGACTTCTTTAACTCAGCAGTACTACTTAAAGTTATTAAAGTTACGTGAACAAAAACAATTGGGAGAAAAGCGGATGTGTAACAGTAAATCTATACACATATCGAATCGAAATTTGATTCAGAATCGAGAATCGTGACCTCAAGATTTGATTTGATTGGTGAGGTACTGAATGATTCCCACCCCTAGTTTTAAATCATAACTCCTGTGTGTGTGTGTGTGTGTGTCTGTGTGTGTCCGCTGTTAGGTTGAGGAGCTGAAGGTCCAGTTGGAGAGCTGCCACCAGCAGTTAATGGACTCCAATCGGCACAAGCTGGAGCTGGAGGGTCAGCTTAAAAACGCCTTTGAGCGTGAACACCAGATCCGTGCCGGTTACATTTCACCGGTATGTCACATGATTTCAATAATGTATCCAGTTGTTTTTTTGGTCCATTGAGCACATTGTGTATCATTATTAGGTGAAAAACAAACACATGGCTTCCATCTTTATCATCGAAGCTGCAAACGCGTGCTTTGCATGTTTAGAGACAGTTGCATGTAAACGAACAAAATTGTTTCTTATTCTCTTTTTTTTTGCCTCTACTTAAGATTCCTCTTGCCATGTTCGAGCAAAATGACATTAAATATTTTAATTTCATGCAAACTCTATTGCATGCACAACATAGAAATTATTAACATTAATTGTACGTGAATTAATCATTATGCAATGACGGCATGAAAACATACTCAGAACTTACTGTGCCCTGCAGATACATTCATACTCGATGATGCACATTTGAGATTAAAGCATGTTATTTCGAAGATGTAATTGAAATGTTTTATTTGGATTAATGCAATAAGATTGGGCAGTTTCAGTGTCAGATCAAATGCATTGAGTATCAGTATGTCTGAAGGGCGTTGAAAATGATTTAAAAATGCATCTTTTGCAGATGAGGTGCTACTTAAACATTGGCATATGAAAAGATGCCTATTAAGGGCATATGTGCATGATATGTTTTAACCATTCGTTCATCTCATTTTTAACCTTATTCTTGACTTTTCCAATATATGCTATAGAGTATGTTTGTGCGTTTTGTGTGTGTTTGTCTTTAGTTTTGTTCAGAATATTGTTGCATTGTTTTCTGACCTTAATTTGGACTCTTTTTATTGATTTGTTTGGCATTAAATAGCTTCACAGTTTGATATTTTTCTGATGTACGTTTTCAGTGTAGCAAAGATAAAGCTTTTATATATTAAAAGCAAATAGGGGGGATTTTGTCTTAAACATGGCATCGTTTCGCATATCAAGAACACTCAAAAGGTGATTCTCTGTTCAATATCTGTCCAGGACACATTTCATCTTGTTTTTATTGGATTTTATTCACTTTTTTTGCTATAAACAGACATTAGTTGTTGTTTAATAGTCAGGTGACATTGTTCCACAAAAGAACTGCAGGCTTACTGTATAACTGGATGGCATGTAACTGTTCTGGCATTCTTACCTCGCACTAATTTTGCGTCACTTACCCCATGAAACAACTCTTTAACCTCTTAATATGCATGCATTGTTCTGATTTACTAACCTTTTGCCATTAATTTTTTTCTAGCGTTCTAATGTGCATTCATTCCATGAAAGAAGCTGAATGAATTTGACCTCAATAGATTGATTAGAACCAGATGTAATGAAGTAAATTTCCCTTAAAAGCTTATGAATAATTGTTGATTAATAATCTAGATTGACTTATTGACCAATGCTGACTGTTAATCAACTGTCTGGTCCCCTTTTCCAAGCTGGATTCCCCTTTGAGTCTTGAGACAGAGCCCCTGATGAAGAGGACTGAACTGGTTAGTTCTCAAGCTCAGAGCTTAACAAAGAAGTACCAGGAAACCAAAGAGCTCCTGCAGCAGCAAGAACTGAAAAAGCGCAACATGCAAGCACAGCTTGGCCTTTCTCTCTCACACTGGCCCACAAAGGAACCTTGCCTTTCTGACACCAAAAACACTGCCATCTCCGAGGTCTGTCCCTCAAACGGCATTCAAAAAACGGTCAGTTTCATACTTCAGGATAGTGAGGGAAAGATTACAGAGCTTGAGGGCTTGATAGACGCAAATGAGCCTCTGACAGTAAGGGAGCTGATAAAGCTCTTGCAGTTGCATAGCGAATACATTTGGGTTGAATCTCCTCAAGGACAGGAAAGTAGGTCAGTAGGTGAAATGGTGCAATGCCAAAAACTGTTGGAAAGCTTCAAGAATCAACAGGAAATTGAGAGTGAGACGATGAGGAAAAGCTTGGAAAGAGCTGGAGAGTGTATCCGAGACTATGAAGCTCGTTTGGTCACAATGGAAGACATGTTGGGAAAAGTCCAGCAGAAAACGGAGAATCCGTGTGCATCCGGTTGCTTTAGACCAGACCATCCTGAAATGACCAGTAAAGATCTGTCTCAGCAAGTGGAGTTGCTTGCGAACGAAAACGTAGCTTTGCACCAGCGCTATCAAGAAATTGTAAACCAGTTGAGAGAAGCGGATAGAGAAATAGACAGGCTGAAAGCTGAGCTTTGTAGACTACGTAGAAATCCGCAATATCAGCAAGCAAACGTGAACCAGGAGCGGGAAGACAAAGGGACTGCAGATAAAAACGTGTACGAACGAGAACTCGATGAGAAATCGCAGAAGCTGCAAGAGGCTCTCAATAAATTGGAGGCGCTTGGTAATAATTTGAAAGATACAGAGAAAAGATTGCAATTAAAAGAAGCCACTCTTAGGGGTCTTGGGTTTCAGGTGGTAGAAAGTGAAAAGGGCGATAAAGAGTTAGATTTGGAGAAAGATGAGCTCAAGCGCCAATTCGAGATCCTTCAATCCGAGCTTTCAGAGAAGGAGAAAAAGCTACAAAACGCTGAGCATTTCTGTCAAGGACTTCAGTCCCAGAATACAGAGCTCCTTACAAAACACGAAGAGACTGTGAGGATGTTTAATCAGATGCTTGTAGAGTCGCAGGAGGAAGTTAGAACGTTGAAAGCGAAGGCGACGTTTGCTAGTGAACCGGGAACAGAAAGCGAGTGCGAAGAGTCGACGCAAAGGGAAGATGTAATTGAGAAAGTCGCGGAGGAGTTCAAGAGAAAGTCTAAGTCTCTTAATCATGTACTTGACATGATAATTGGCAGCAAGGCAACTACAGAATGTGATTTGTCCAGCGCCAACATTTTGGACGAGAATCAGGCAGGAATGATGTTTGAGAGAAGGATTCTAGATAAAGTTTTAGGTGGTTTAGAGGACGAGGAAACCGTAAGAACCGTGATTCAGCGTATGCTAGCGGATAATGAAATGCTGCTTCTCATGCATAATCTCACCAACCTCAAAGAACGTGAATGTGATGCAACACATTCAACTTGTACAGATGAAAGCGCTGGACAATTGAGTGATGTTTTGAATAATTTCTTTGATGCCACCAATCCCTGCGCTATAAAGAGTCTCACTGAAGTCGTTCAGAAGAAAGTGGTGTTATTGAATCAAACCGCTTCGGCTATTAGGGAACGAACAAATGAGCAGATAAAGTCGTTGGCTTTGAGTCTATCGAACTGCGACATGCAAAGATGCTGGTCTGAGTACATTCGTGAGGCCGTAATGGACATAACCATGTGCTTTGTAGTTCTGAAGATCTTCCCAGCGATGAAACGTTTAGGCCTTGCTGATTTGAGAGCACAACTTCAGTTTGAACTAGAGGACAAACAAATATGTCCCAAAAGTGGCGATTCAATGGCAGTAACCCACATTCAGATCGAAGGAGAACCAATCGACTCTCTGGATGGGACCATTCACCTTCAAGACACGATGGCGAAGCATAAAAAGGAGCTGCGAGAATTAAAGGAGGAGTACGAGCAAGAAGCAGAGAAGCTGAGACTGGAAGTGGCCAAAGCTGGTGAGACTCTAAAGCTGAGATCCGAGGAGAACGTGAGAGAGATCGACTCCCTGACCGAGTGCATGGAGAACCTTAAGAAGAAGCATGAGATTGAGTGTAACAACTTACAAGCCCGCTTCGATCGAGAGATGGAAGAGCTCACGGACGCCATCGGACCTATGGATGGCGAGCCAACCAGGAGGAGGACCCTCAAAGAGCGCATCCAGAAGCTTGTGTCCCGGGTGTCCGAATTGACTGAGGAAATGAATCAACCAGACAATGCAACATTACTGCGACTGAAATACCAGAAAGACGTGGAAAATCTAAAGGTCAAGGAGATCCGTGTCCTTGCTGTTCTCCGTCTGTAATGACTTAATGTGGCAACCTGATCCTTTCCCTTCCTTTTCTCATACTAACCCTGCTTTGTGGTGCTTTGTTCTCCAGCCTAATATCTATCACCAGTGACGCATGGCTATTAACCTTAGGGTTGCATGTACGCTTTAGTGATTGGAGTGTGGGTCAGGAGGAAGTTTAAGAAAACTCTCATTGAAGAAACAGTTTCTAGCTTAATGAACCCAATGAAGTGCAATTAAGAATCAGTTCGTCAGCTGTATCTGAGAATGCATAACTGTATACTCTACTTCGTCGGATTCTTAAAACCTTGAGATGTGGTTCACCTGGTTGACTTGGTTCTTGTTTTCAAACTTAAGCTCTTTGCCTGATTAACAGTCTTTGCAAGACCAGTTCTTTATAAATCACTGCTCGTCTTTGACGACTGCAAAATGCCAGCTGCTTAACCTAATTAATATCAATGCATGACAACAACTAAAATATTTATTTTAAATAACAGTCTATAATTTAAAATGTGGATGTTTTTGTAAAAGAATTGAATCTGAAGACAGAGATTCAATTCAATTTCTTTATGCATTATTATAATAGGATCAGATTTATTTGATTTCATTTAATAAATTATATAAACTATTGCATTGGTGCTCCATCTTGCAATAAAAAATTACAAGTACTGACAAATAAATGGCTAGTTTGCTGTTACTCGATTACCGATTTTAAAAACATACAAACTAGCAATAATTGCACTAGTTTTGTTTTGTCAGTGTGATGTGACCAGAGCTCAAGTCTGTTCCTGATTAGATCATTTTATACTCATAGACAAATTGTAAAAATTAGGCCAGTTTCATAAGCTCATAAAAGGGAATTGGCATTGGTGCAGTTGTCAAATTTGACAGCCTATATTTGGTACTTTTGTCTCATTATTGTCTAACTATTTTTCTCTCTATTTATTAATTGTAAAACAATGAATAATGACAGTTCAGTTGCTTTTAGTTGTGCTTTGGGTTGCAGAAATATTTTCTGATTCCTTTATTACAATTTCTTTTTAAATTTAGACTGGATAAAATTTTGTACTAAAAAGATTATAGACGTTGAATTTTGGACTCAGTCGTACTAAATTTGTCATCAGTATGTGATACTGGACTCGTGTTTGTCCTGACGAAAGAGGAAATGAGATTTTCCACCCATAGACTGGTGAATAAACAAGTGCAGGTGCTGTTGTGATATGGAGACAGGAAGAGTTGGTCGTGTCCCAGGACCTTGCAAAAACAACTGCTTCATTCGGTTGTCTGATCAGAGCTCAACTTAAGCACAGAGATCAGGGCCATTGAAAAGACGGCGGAAGTGCGTTGGGTTTGCATGGTCGGAAAAGCATTGAAGTCTCTTGTACTAAAATCAACTCTGTTCATGAAAAGTAGCTGTAATCCTAAAAGTACCAAATCGTACAGATACGTGAAAGCTGAGTTTTTTTGGATTTGAACATTCAAGTTGTTTTTCAGATGTAGCCCAGGTGAAATTAAAATCAAAATGCGTCATATTTTCAGACAAGAGCATATACAGTGATCCCAAAACATACTTGGACATTTCAGCCACAAATGTTTGAATTTCATTGCATTTGAAGTTCAAAATCTCAAATGAAGTATTTGCAAACAAACGCTAGTGTTTTTCTGAGCCATTTTTGCAATAACATTTAATCGATTGTTGTCAAGGTTTTTTTAGTGCATCTATGAAGTCAGTTCTCACAGGTGTAGAGAATCATTAATCCGATCCGCCAATATTTGACAACCACAATGTGTTCAGATACTTTTTATCTCAAGTTTGAACAGTATATTGACTGCTTAATCACAAATTAAGCATTTTGCTTTGTGTAGAAAGACATGTTTTCACCACTGATTGAAAAAATGAAAACGGTAACACAATTCTGACTTTTTTCTTACAAAAGTATATATCTCACGATTGCTAATTATAAACTCGTAATTGCGAGTTTAATCTCAATTCTGATGTTTTTCCTCAGAATTGCAAATTTATGTATTCAGGGTGTATCTCGTGCAATTCTGCGTGTCTCGCAATCCTTTCGTTTGTATCTCGCAATCCTTCGTTTGAATCTCGTGCAATCCTTTCGTTTGTATCTCGCAATTCTTTGTTTGTGTCTCGCAATTCTTCGTTTGTGTCTCGGAATTCTGCGTTTGTATCTCGCAGTTCAGTGTTTGTGTCTCGCAGTTCTGCGTTTGTATTTCGCAGTTCTTCAATTCTGAGTTTATATCTGGCAATTATCCGTTTGTGTCTTACAATTATTCGTTTGTGCCTCACAATTCTGTTTTTGTCTTGCAATCCTTCGTTTGAATCTCGTGCAATTCTTCGTTTGTATCTCGCAATTCTTCGTTAGTTTCTCGCAATTCCACGTTTGTGTCTCGCAGTTCCGCGTTTGTGTCTCGCAGTTCCGCGTTTGTATCTCGCAATTCCGCGTTTGTGTCTCCCAGTTCTTCGTTTGTGTCTCGCAATTCTTCGTTTGTGTCTCGCAATTCTACGTTTGTGTCTCGCAGTTCCCCGTTTGTGTCTCGCAATTCTGCGTTTGTATCACGCAATTCTGCGTTTGTATCACGCAATTCCCCGTTTGTATCTCGCAATTCCGCGTTTGTATCTCGCAGTTCCGCGTTTGTATCTCGCAGTTCCGCGTTTGTATCTCGCAATTCTTCGTTTGTATCTCGCAATTCTTCGTTTGTATCTCGCAATTCTTCGTTTGTATCTCGCAATTCTGCGTTTGTATCTCGAAGTTCCGTTTGTATCTCGCAGTTCCGCGTTTGTATCTCGCAATTCCGCGTTTGTATCTCGCAATTCCGCGTTTGTATCTCGCAATTCCGCGTTTGTATCTCGCAATTCCTCGTTTGTATCTAAAATCAAATAAAGTCTGCTTTTTTATATAAAAAAGTCACAATTACCATTTTATTTTTTTAATCCGTGGCATAAACGAGCTTGATTATAAAGTGTTTTTGTTCTGTTTTGTTTTTTTAATAAATTGCTTTTCATTTGATATTTTGCACCTGGTCCAATGACATTCGTGCATTAAGTTTGGCTAAAGTGTCCAATCTTTTGGGGCCGCTGTTTGAACACACAGTCCCAGATAAATCACACGTTTACGTTACGTTTGCAAAGCCATCTCTCACTGGCCTCTGTGTCCCTTCATGTCATCGTAGGGCTATATAAATGTCTGGCTTTGTGTGGACACCGTTCTGTCCACACATCGCCAATCTCCGTCGTCTGTGTAAGTGTTGTCCTGGTCAAATGAAGTAGAAGTGGACTTGAGTCGATCCAAAACGAGGTGCACTAAATGCTGCTTCCTACGTCTCCCCACAGGCTACGTGTGAACGAGGCTTCGCTGCCATGGAAGAGTCTCACCAGAAGGTAATCGATGAGCTGCAGAAAAAGCACCAGCGGGAACTGGAGAAACTGCAGGAGGATAAGGAGAGGCTGCTGGCCGAGGAGACCGCAGCCACTATATCTGGTTAGTACTGAAGAAACGAGACTAGAGCAAACGGGTCGTTCTATATGAAACGGACCCTCAAACTTAACACTACGTTAGTGTCTTACATTATCCACAAATGAAAATGAATGGTATCGGTGTACTGCTTAGTGTATACTTACCCTACTTGTGTGTTAAAGTAACTGGAATCAGATAATATACACACAGTGCCGAATATATCATTGCAGAAAGTCCCCCTGTAGTCAATCATTTTATCCCTTAAAACCTGTTGATCACCAAAATGACATAAGCGTTTTTTCCTTGAAAAAAATGGTCCTCATCCCTTAAAATAGCTTTAATGTAACTCGACCCCTTGGCTCATTTAATATGTGTGGTTCTATGAATATGCAAATGAGCCCCGCCTCACTCACTCTCTCAGAGATCCACTGGTTGTCGATCACACGTTGATCTGATTGGTTACAAGGTGGTTTGTGACGTCAGAAACACCAGCGTGCTTTTGAGACTGTCTTTGGTTCACTGCAGTTTTAAGGAGGAAATACTCCAACAATCCACATTAAAACTTTAAAAGACAACATTAAAAGCTGGATTTTCACCTCAGGGGGACTTTATTATCAAATGAATATCCACCATCTTCCTCATGCCAGAGGCATATTGATGCTTGTTTCTCAAAAAAAAAAGTTTAATGCCAAGAATTAAGCCTTATACGCAGCATTTTAATACTGTTTTTATCTGATCAGCTATCGAAGCAATGAAGAACGCACACCGGACAGAGCTGGAGCGGGAGTTGGACAAAGCGCGCAAGGCCAACAACAACACTGAAAACGCAGACATCGAGGAAATCCGCAAACAGCACGAGTCAGTTGTTCCTTTATGCAGTTTCAGCCGCACCTTTGCATTATTTTCAATAATAACTTTTATTGCTTTTTGATGCCACACCCTTCCACTTCGCTTTAAACTTGTACATTTGTGATGCATTTCATCTGTATTGGAGTGAAGTAAGCAGGGTTCGTACTTGAATTTGACTTTTTGAAATTCCTGGAAAACCCTTAAAGTCATTTTTATGAAGAAGTACATGCCAAGTGCTTGAATTATTGAAATACAAAATATGGGAAATTTACTTGTAATTTTATTGATAAAACAATATTTTCACTCTAAATTGAAGCTGCAGTCCGTCTGATATAGATATAGAGGCGTTTGGCATGGCTATGAGTGTGATATTGCTCATATAAATATCCAAATGTATGATACAACGTTTATTCTTCAAGTCAGTCGTATATTCATGGGAGAAAAGGAAAGCAATATATTTAACCATTGAAAGGATGCTATGACAAAGTTAATGCATGTTGTTTTAGTAGTTTAGTTTCATTGATCTATTTACCTTTTTTAGAATTTAAAATATAATAAAGATATTGTTTGATAAATGAAAACTCCAAATAAGTGCTTAAAGTCCTGGAATGTGATTATACAGTATGTGTTGGAGCTGTGATAAAGGCTGTGAGTGCATGAGCGCCTCTAATGCCAAGTGTGTCCTGGGGCAATGCAGACGAGATGCCAAATCTGCAGTGATTGCACAGTCTCTTTCTTTGTCTACATGCACATAATCTGCCCTCGAGCTCTTGGCTGTACTTCCGTCTAGACTTAAAGCCCTTGCTCTTTTATCATTGCTTTAAACTGACTGGAGAAGTGTGTGTGTGTGTGTCAAACGTTTATGATTCCACGGAAGCGACAACAAATTCTGCATTATGAATTTTTTAGGTCAGATAACTAATGTGTTTGGTCAATTTGTAGCAAAAGACACAACACTGTTGTCCGAATTAGTGGCGAGAACACATTAAAAACGTTCGGTTTTCTGTTACAAACACTGAGTTAATCACTAATGATCTGTGCAACGGAAGTGAATCTTTATCTGGACAATAACTTTATTCTAGATCTGCTGTAAAGCCTGAACACTCTCTGTTTCTGTAATCTCCTGTTCTGCTGTGAAACTCTATACTGTTAAAGCGCTGGATAAATGAAGGAGACTTGACTTGTGTTGTAGGGAGGAGCTGATGTCGTACCAGAGGGAGATCGAGGTGTTATCGGAGCAATACTCTCAGAAGTGCTTAGAAAACGCTCATCTGGCCCAAGCGCTGGAGGCCGAGAGGCAGGCGCTCCGACAGTGCCAGCGGGAGAACCAGGAGCTCAATGCGCACAACCAGGTAACAACATATCCAGAGATTTGGGTCATATTGCTGAGGACCTTAAAGGGACGATTCACCCAAGAATGAAAATTAGCCCATGATTTACTCTCCCTCAAGTCTTCCTGGGTGTCTATGACACTCTTCTTCAGACGAATACAATCAGAGTTGCATAAAAAATGGCCTGGCTCTTCCCAGCTTTATGATAGCTGGAAGCTAGAATTTTACTTTGTAACGTGTTAAATATGGATATTTTTCTTACACAAACTCATCGCTTTATCGGCCTTTATTTACCCCTGGAGCCTGTGGAGCACTTTATCATGGACAGATGCACTTTTATCATGGATAGATGCACTTTTATGATGGATAGATGCGCTTTTATGATGGACAGATGCACTTTTAAGATGGACAGATGCACTTTTATTATGATAGATGCACTTTTATGATGGACAGATGCACTTTTATGATGATAGATTCACTTTTATGGTGATAGATGCACTTTTATGATGGATAGATGCACTTTTATGATGGACAGATGCACTTTTATGATGATAGATGCAATTTTATGATGGACAGATGCGCTTTTATGATGGATAGATGCACTTTTATGATGGACAGATGCACTTTTATGATGGACAGATGCACTTTTATGATGGACAGATGCACTTTTATGATGGATAGATGCACTTTTATGATGGACAGATGCGCGTTTATGATGGACAGATGCACTTTTATGATGGACAGATGCACTTTTATGATGGATAGATGCACTTTTATGATGGACAGATGCACTTTTATGATGATAGATGCAATTTTATGATGGACAGATGCACTTTTATGATGATAGATGCACTTTTATGATGGACAGATGCACTTTTATGATGGACAGATGCACTTTTATGATGGATAGATGCGCTTTTATGATGGATAGATGCACTTTTATGATGGACAGATGCACTTTTATGATGGATAGATGCACTTTTATGATGGATAGATGCACTTTTATGATGGATAGATGCACTTTTATGATGGACAGATGCACTTTTATGATGGATAGATGCGCTTTTATGATGGACAGATGCACTTTTATGATGGACAGATGCACTTTTATGATGGATAGATGCACTTTTATGATGGATAGATGCACTTTTATGATGGACAGATGCACTTTTATGATGGATAGATGCGCTTTTATGATGGACAGATGCACTTTTATGATGGACAGATGCACTTTTATGATGGATAGATGCACTTTTATGATGGATAGATGCACTTTTATGATGGATAGATGCACTTTTATGATGGACAGATGCACTTTTATGATGGATAGATGCGCTTTTATGATGGACAGATGCACTTTTATGATGGACAGATGCACTTTTATGATGGATAGATGCACTTTTATGATGGATAGATGCGCTTTTATGATGGACAGATGCACTTTTATGATGGATAGATGCACTTTTATGATGGACAGATGCACTTTTATGATGGACAGATGCACTTTTATGATGGACAGATGCATTTTTATGATGGATAGATGCACTTTTATGATGGACAGATGCACTTTTATGATGGATAGATGCACTTTTATGATGGACAGATGCACTTTTATGATGGACAGATGCACTTTTATGATGGACAGATGCACTTTTATGATGGATAGATGCACTTTTATGATGGATAGATGCACTTTTATGATGGACAGATGCACTTTTATGATGGATAGATGCACTTTTATGATGGATAGATGCACTTTTATGATGGACAGATGCGCGTTTATGATGGACAGATGCACTTTTATGATGGACAGATGCACTTTTATGATGGACAGATGCACTTTTATGATGGACAGATGCACTTTTATGATGATAGATGCAATTTTATGATGGATAGATGCACTTTTATGATGGACAGATGCACTTTTATGATGGACAGATGCACTTTTATGATGGATAGATGCGCTTTTATGATGGATAGATGCACTTTTATGATGGACAGATGCACTTTTATGATGGACAGATGCACTTTTATGATGGATAGATGCGCTTTTATGATGGATAGATGCGCTTTTATGATGGACAGATGCACTTTTATGATGGATAGATGCACTTTTATGATGGACAGATGCACTTTTATGATGGACAGATGCACTTTTATGATGGATAGATGCGCTTTTATTATGGATAGATGCGCTTTTATGATGGACAGATGCACTTTTATGATGGATAGATGCACTTTTATGATGGATAGATGCGCTTTTATGATGGATAGATGTACTTTTATGATGGATAGATGCACTTTTATGATGGATGTTATTATATGATGTTTAATGGTACAAGACATTAGGAGAATATGAGATACGGATGAGTGTCACATTACATTGCTAAAAATCATTTAGTAGCCGATCCTCGCCTTGATTTTGAGTGAATAAATCAAATAGTATAAAATACATTTCAGAGAAAGTTTTTCTTAATCATTTCCACTGGACAAACAATATTTTTAATATATGCTTTATACTTTTAATGGAAACAGATTGTGCATTATTGATCATTATTTGCATGTAAATATTTCCTCAGATCACGAGTTCTGCTATTATCATTAAATAGCAAACATTGAAACGGGAAGAGTGTTTGAATGCTTCGCATCCAATGCAAATATTTCTATTGATTCGAATATAAAAATTGTATCTTCTCTGGGATGATTTGATGTCATTTAAGTTCTTTACTTCATTAATGAGAATTGCATTTTTATTCTAAATGTGTATATCAGATATAAAACTGTTTAAATCATTCTTTTATGTATTTAAACTGTTTTTCTGATTAGGACTCGTAATGAATATTAAAGTGTTTTTGCTTCATCAGTCCCTCAGATCTCCATCGGAGTCGCCTCTAATGTTCGTACGCATGATCAGAGTTACACTCAGATGTACTTACACATTCTCCCGTCACGCGTGTGTTTATAAACCACAGCTCGTACGGCTCGGTGCGGCGCAGCGGTTATGAACGAGACCCCTGGTGCACTGTTACTCAAGCTGTTTGTGTGTGTTTTGAAGGAGTTGAACAATCGCCTGGCCGCTGAGATCACGAAGATGCGGTCGATGGCGAGTGAGGACGGTGGAGACGCGGGCGGAGGCATGCAGGGGAAGGAGCTGTACGAGCTCGAGGTCGGGCGCTTACCTTCACATCCACAGCTTTTCCCACGCCATCTTCCTGGAGAATGAACACCTCATGCTTGTGTTTCACAGGTAATGCTGAGGGTGAAGGAGTCGGAAGTGCAGTATCTGAAGCAGGAGATCAACTCTCTAAAAGATGAGCTGCAGACTGCCCAAAGAGTGAGTGCTGCGCCTGCACATTTATTCACATGGATGCATTTATATATAAAATAAATATTTTACAAAATATTTTTTACTATAAATTGAAAGCTATATATCTAACCAAGTTGTGTTCCAAATTTAAATTTGATATCACAAAAATTGAAGTTCCCATGAGATTTTGATTAGGCGTTATACCAAAAATAGCCACCGGGTGCCATTGAATTCCATTGAATTTAAAGGCTGAAATACGTGAGGTTTATCTGTTTTTAAAACTATTTTTGTGAAGACTTTATTTTATCTAGACTTAACCTGTTGCAAGACCCTCCTTTAAAATCTGCCTAGTATTTTTAATGGTATTTTAATGTTTATGTAAACAAAAAGTGCATATTGATGCTAATTTTATTTATTTGCTGGGTTTCGACATACATTTGGCAAATTGATTTCATAATAATCATGAAATTAGTTGTTCATGCCATTTCAACTATAATTGTGTTTTTACAGTATAAAATGGAGAGTACAAATTTCTATACTTTCTGTAAATGTTATTTTCTCTGATGCTCTTACACACACACACTAAATCTCTGTTAGGTTATTAATATGCTGTTTTGTAATGTAACTAAGTATGAAATGAAAACTATTCTATTTGAGAGCAAGTTTTTTTTAACCTATTTTCATTTTAGGCTCTTAGGCCCTTTTGGACATCTGGCACGTTGTTGGGTGTGGAAGGTTACTAATGTTATTGATTTACCTGTAAATTAAATTAATGCTTTTTCGATTACTGAATTCATTGAAATAAAATATTTTTTTTATTTTAATTTTTGGTAATGCGTCATGTATGTCTTAAATTTCAACGTTTATGGTCTTAAAATGTCTTAAAAAGGTCTTAAATTTGACTTACTGGAACCTGCAGAAACCCTGTGTTTGATAAGTGAGATCTCTGATTGTAGTCCTTGAAAGCCAAAAAAGTAGTGCATGAAAGTCCTGGATTTTAATTGTACAGAATCTGTACAAACCCTAACATTAAATGTGGAGTAATGTTCTTGGTCTGTCCATCATTTGATGAATTAAATGCCAGATACAGTTTATTGTGTGACCAAAAATCTAATAATAACCCCCCAAAAGCAGGACTTTTAATTATAAAACCAGGACTCTTATTTTGAAATGTCAGTGTTTTACCACTAAGAGCCACACATTTAAAAAGATGAGCGAGATCAAATATGCATCGTGCAACCATCTACAATATAAACACCATGAAGTAAACATTATCATAATTCATCAACTGTCTATTAGCATAAACGCACTTCAATATTTATTCATCGATTGCAAATTCAAAAACCTTTTGAAGTTTAATAATCACGTTAGGATCGCAAATCCTGGTCATTTTTTGTAAGATGGACCCGGAGAAATTGACAACAATAAAAAGTTTATTTTTAAAATAATTTTATAGACTTGAGGGCCTATATACAAAATTGAAAAAGAAAAACTTAATTTTATAAATGTTTGTTGAATCTTTAGCTGCCTGTGGCAATACATTTAAATTAAGGCTGTGCAAAAATTAATTGCGATTAATCGCATCCAAAATAAAAGTCTGTGTTTACATAATATATTTGTGTGTGCTGTATAATTATTTTGTATATATAAATACCTATGCATGTATATATTTAAGAATTATTTGCGCTTAGATTATGTATTTAAATATAAATATATACACAGAATTTATATTATATAAATATAAATATTTTATATATGAATAACACATTTTCTTAAATATATATACATGCATGTGTGTGTATTTATATATACAAAATAATTCTATACAGCACACACAAATATATTATGTAAACACAGACTTTTATTTTGGATGCGATTAATCGCAATTAATTTTTGCACAGCCTTAATTTAAACACAACAATCTGTTTTTGTCCCCCAATTTATGAAAGACCTCAATTAAAATGAGCATTGGAGATATTAATGTCCTTACTGTGATCATGAGGAACCCAGAGCTGGACTAATGACCTGCGCCACCTCTCGTCACAGGATAAAAAATATGCAACGGATAAATACAAGGACATCTACACGGAGCTGAGCATCGTCCGGGCCAAAGCGGAGCGCGACCTGTGCCGCCTGCGCGAGCAGCTCCAGCTGGCCCACAATGCACTGGGGGAGCCGGCGCTGGAGGACGTGGAGCACGCCGGTTACGGTACGCCCCGCGTTCCTTACAATTACTGTAATCAAATTACTGTGATACTATATAGTATTTATTTGCCAGAATTAAGAGCAGTTTCATTTCTATTGTATTATTCAGTTACTTTTTAGAAAGAGTAATTAGTACAATAATCTAATTACACTGATGAAGATGTAATTGGTAACTAATTAACGTGTGCTACTAAGTTAGAAAAGCCACTGAATGCGCTGTGCTTATGAATCATCATAACTGTCTTTCCTTTCAGATATCATGAAGTCCAAGAGTAATCCTGATATTTTAAAGATGGCGGCGGCGGCAGCCAAGCGCTCCGAGCGCACCCTGAGGTCAAAGGTGAGTCTCCGACACATGACGCCCGCCGGCTACAGCGAGATCCAGTTCAGGGGTTTTCAGTCCTCTAATGCCACAAACCCGTCTTCATGTTTAAATGCCAGCTAGACATTTTTATACTGACCCAATTAATACTAGAACATTTTAAATATTGTAGTGCTCTTATCTATTTTTATTACACTTTTATTATTAATTTTTATTAATTATTTTTAATTACACATTTATATTTTAATTAAATATTTATTTTATTCATGTATTCATGTATTTATTTTAATCTTTCTAGTGTTGATATATTTCAAAAAAAATTCTTATTTATTTATTTTTGCTGCTGCTTTTTACTTTCATCATTTCCACGACCCTCTTGCACTTTGTATTTCTTTATAATTATTTTTTATAATTAATTTAAATTTATTTTTATGTATTTTATTAATTTATTATTAAAACATTTTTATTTGACTCAAATATTTATTCTATTCATTTATTTAAATCAAATATACATTTTTGTATTAATGTATAGCACATTTTTTTATAAAAGATTTATTTATTCTTATTTGTTTATTGATTATTATTGTGTGTGTTTGTGCGGGCGGGCTGAAGGCCCCTGAGCACTCGCTGCCCCCTGCTGACCCCTGCTGGCCGGCTCCTGAAGCACCTCCTGTAGTTGTGTGTAGTGTAGCTGTGTGTAGTTGTGTGTAGTTGTGCTTGTGTAACGCTGGGGAACTGAACTCTTTGTGTGCTGTGTTTTGTTGCGCAGGAGAAAGCCTGGTAGGTAGCGGTAAGACGCATGACTTTTGCACATTCCCCTCTCTAACACACAGTTCCGTGTGTGTGTGTGTGTGTGTGTGTGTGTGTTTCCTCCGTTTTCCCCTCTGTTCCCAGTCTGTGAGTCGTGACATGTCCTGGGACAGCTAAAGACTAAACCGAAGACCTTTTGACTTCTGATTTTAGGTAAATGTCCTTGAAAGGGAGCGAGCGATTAGATCAAACATGGCATCCTTTATAAAGACCATTCTATACTGGCACAAACACATTTTATAAGTATATTATATTATTTTTTTATTAAAAATGAACTTTATAGTACTGCACTGTGTATTATTTAGTTTTGTATATTATACTATATACAGATATGTTGTGTGTATATATATATATATATATATATGTGTGTGTGTGTATACAGATTAAAATAAACAATACAAATAATTATATATATATATATCATATTTTTATTTATTTAACTTTAATAATTAATTTGTATCTGTTTTTCATTATTTATTCATTTTAATAAATCATTAATATATATTTTTTTCTTTATCTCAACTATATATCAACTATATTTTTAACTTTTAAATGTTTAATTTAACATTTGAATATATTTGTATTATTTATTAATTAATTAACAAAGTAGTCTGAACCTATGTTATTCCTTTATATAAATTTATTTATATTAATGTTTCACCTTATGTATTTACATTTTTTATTTAACTTTTTTTAATCTATTTTAATTATTTATTTTATTAATATAAAATGTATTTAAACCTAATATTTATGTTATTCCTTTATATCAAAATTGTATTCATTTTAATCTTGTATTCATTTTTACGGTGTTATTGCAGTGTAAAAAGCATTCATGTGCTGACAAACAAACAGAGCGCTTTATCTTTCCCATCATGCATGCGGGGGATCCCGTCATCTCACGGGTTCATGTTTCTGGCAGAGAGAGGTCAAGGGTCACGGCATGTGTGTGTTTGAGGCTTACGGGTTCATATTTCCGGCAGAGAGAGGTCAAGGGTCACGGCATGTGTGTGTGTGTTCGGGGTTCACTGCTGGCACGACTTTTCAGATGCAATAATAAATGTTATCGGTAATGTTTGATACTGCTCGTTTCATACGGATTACACAATCACATCAACGTCAAGCTTTCTATAGACACATTTCTCATCTCATGTGTGTGAAGCGAGTTTACGCCGAGTTTCGGTTCATTTATGATGCGCTCCAGTTCGAGATGGACAGAAAGCGCCGTTATTTTACACGTTTTGTTGTTATTGTGAGTTTACAGAAATAAGAGTAGACCCTTTAGTCTTATGATTATCTGCATGAGCAAAAATGATGGAGTATTTAAAGTTAAACGCAAGCGATGTAATAATGCAGTAACACTAGTCTCTATGTCTCGATATTAATCGATTCTCATTTTTACGAACCGATATCGATTGTTAAATCTCAAGAATCGATTAGTCATCCTGTTTCATTTGAATGAATGGGACATAGTATCGCGGCTGCGCGCATCCAAAAAAATCGCAATAATCTTTGTTGATATGAAACAGTCTCAATTTTCAAATTACGTCCATTTTCTTTAGAAATTCAAAAACATAAATAGTGTTTTGGCGCTGTGGCGTGAGATCGTGAGCATTTTGCTAAATATATACACCATATTATGTGGATTATAATCTTAATGTTCTTCAATATTTAATGCATATTTGAGTAAATGGCAAGTTTTTATGACATCCACCATTTAAATGTTTATATTTCATATAATCTTCTTATTATAAAAATAAATAAAAGTGTAATTTAAGTGTTTGTATAGCTACAAAACAGTTGATTATTACCTTCATATTAGGCTAATGAAGTCTATAGGCTACAACTAGACTCCCACAGTTTACAGCATTAGTTCAGAGATTTGATTCCCTTGAGAAAAATTGCCATTTATTGTAACTGATATCCAAAATAATCAATATTGAATCGAAATCGAATCGAATTGTGAAATTTGTCTCAATACCCAGCCCTAGCGGTCACATGACTTATAAAAAGCATGAATAATACGTCAACAATCATGTTTTTAGTTTGGGTTGCATTGGAATGTGCCTTTTATTGACATGCAGAAACTGAAACACGAATGTGTGTGTGTGTGTGTGTGTGTGTGTGTGTGTGTGTGTGTGTGTTTGCTCCCCAGAGTCTGAGAGAAGGACTGACGGCGGAACAGAGACTCCACTTGTTCGACAACAAGGACACGAAGGACTTCTGAGCCGCCGCCGCCGGCTGCACGCTAATAACACACCGTATTTTAGCCCAGTAATTAATCACTTAGAGACACACTGATCACAGCCTATATTAAACATGGTATGAGTTTGAGTTGTACGTCTATAGTCTGCACTTCAGTTACTGTGACGCTTTCGTTGTGTTGGTTTCCATCGCCATGTCTTAATGTAAATACTTTGTTTTTAATGAAGCATCTATCATGCGTACACTAAACACGACTGTGTGAGCTACTGTTTTAACTCTTTAGTGTGTGTGTGGAGTAAGTCGCCGCGTAACGACTCGAGCGCTCGCATTATTAACTCTGAAGGACCAATAACGACTGTCAGACACACTAAAGTATGAGCACGTGTCGTGAGTTGATCGGGAGTTGTCGTGTTTCCTCAAGCTGATTAAGTCTGTAGTGTTGGTTCAGTGGCAGTCCTTTGTATTTATTTAAATATTATGAATTTTTTGTCTCACATTTCCATTCATCTATACATTATTGTAAATATACTGCAAATGTACACGAACTGACGACAGGTTTATTAGCAATAAATATTTTTGCACCCTCTTTCTCATGTGATTAATGTGTCCATTATTTATCTTGCATTATTATGATTATTGCAAGTCATCTATTTGTATGTGTGTAAATAATGACGATGTTATGACAATCGGGGCTCTCGGTTAATCACAATTGAGCAAATTGATTCCATGATGTGTCAATTAATCAGGTTTGGCTGAGAAATTATTCCCAAAAGTTTATTTGTGTGTGTGTGTGAGTGAGTGAGTGAGGTAGAGAGAGATTGTGTTTGTGTGTGAGATTCTGTGATCGAGTGTGTGTATACCCAATACAGTCATGCTTTTGTAAATCTTAGTTATGCTAAAAGTCTAATGAATGACATATTAATTCATATTTGAGATTTAAAAAAAAGATAGATAGAAAGTCATTTTTAACATGATTAGCATGTCATTTTTGATTTCATCTCATAATTATGCATGATTTGTTTTCTCCCGTGGCGGAAATGCCTTCCATATTGAATGAACTTATGTCGCATTATAATCACATCGAGCTCGAAGTCCCCTGGACTCAGTACACCAGTCCCATAACGCTGCGCATGCGCAGTGGCGCATCATGACTGACAGCGGCGCAGCCTCAACTAAAGTATGAGAAGCTCTAGTTTCATGCGTTATTCAGTCCGAAATCAAACACACTCTGTCTGAAGGCTGAAGGAGTGTGTGTAGTGTTAGTGTGATGGAGTTTACACTGCTGTGTTGAAGAAACGGGTGAGTCTGCTGCACGCGCTCTCTTTGTTTCACTCGCGGCGCGTTATAACGCGAGGCTATGAGCGCGTTCGTAGCGTCTAATCTATGATCGACTCATCAAGGTTTCAATCGGTTTCATTACGACACGCGTTTGTTGGGTGCGTTTTTAAATCGTCGGCAGGCTATATGTTAGCGCGAATGCTAACATCATGCTATGCTAACGTTAGCATAACACGGAAAAGCGGCACACAATCACAGTCGCAGTGAAGCAGGACTGACAAACTGAATAAAATAACAGATCCAAATCTTTAAAAAAAAAAAAACATTAAAGCGCTTCAATGTGTGTGGATTCAATAAAGCAATTAATTTATAAGGCCTCATCGTGAGATTGCAGGTTTACAACAAATACGGGAGTACGATATAGTATTATGAAGTATCATAAGTTACACTGACCTGAACGTTACAGAAAGTAATTCCTGGTATTCTTTCTTTGAAATAGTGTGTAAATATGTCGACAAAGTACTATGGTAATACTTCACAGTGGTATATAATAGATTAACCCTTGGTATTCAGCTAACAGGACAAAGCTCAATAAATCTAACTTAACTTTTTAGTATTATTATGAAATGAATACTATATTTTGTTTCATAAAAAAAGTTTTTCTTTAATATTTTGTAATTTGAGGGGATTTCGTGGTACTAGACTAAATTTACATCTTAATTATGCACTATTTATTTCTATATAAAATACAAATATTTAATGTTATTTCAAATTAACAGTGTTTAAGTTATACTTTCATTTAGTGTTGCATTTGGATATATATACACACACACAAATACATACAGTTGTTGTTGTTGTTTTTTTTGCATGTGTGTTCATACAAAGGCAGGTTTTTCCCATTCTCATGAAGTAATAATGTAAAAAAAAGTCAAAACATAATTTGGTAATGTGGTATATTAAGATGTAAATGACTTCTGTAAAGTGCAACACATTACTTTATTATTCCTGCTTGTCTTTTCTAAGCAATGCACAAAAGCTCTTGCATAATATTTCCACTGTTGTGCAAACGTCACCAACACTGCTCGCATAAATGTGATGAAATTAAAAACCGATGTCTTCGGCATATCACCAACTGTGGAGAGTCTAACTGATCTTTGTTTTTGTTTTTTAATATTATTGTTATTATCATTTATATTTTTAAAATCATGACAAATTTAATGACACGATATAAACAGTAATGCATTTAAGATTTGCTTAAATACTTTATATTATGTTAGTATTTTGCGTATGCAGAAAAAGTGGGATGTGCTAAAGATTCATCATTTAATATATCGCTGACAATTTTTCATTATTATTATTATCATCAACTCTTTTATTATTATATTAGATTTTGCGTTTTATTGTTGTGAAACACATTGGTCAAATTGAATTGTTTTTAAAGAGATGGTTCACCCAAAAATGATCATTCTGTCATCATTTTCTCACGTCGTTTCTTATGTTGTTCAAGACTTTCGCTCATCTTAGGTACACAAATGAATATATTTTAAATGAAATTGAAAGTCTATTCACCCAAATTTCTGATTCAAACATTCACAGAGAGATGGTAAAATGAATCCAGATGAATCGGGCGGTTTAATCCAAGTCTTCTGAAGAGACTTGATCACTTTATATGATGAACTGATTTAATTTAGATTTTTTCATATATAAGCACAGAGCCCCCAAGTATGATGAACGGAAGTCCAATAGTACTTAACCAGTTCATATATATAGATTATTTTATGAATAGACTTTGAATATAGGGATAGAAATCTCTCAAATTTCATTTGTGTTCCAGAGGTGAACAAAAGTCTCATGGGTTTGGATGCACGATATATCGGCCACCATATCGGTATCAGCCGATATATGATAATTTTTAATGTTAGCGTTATCGGCCTGATAAGAAGATTTTGCCTATATATTAAAGCTGATAAATATTGTATTATGGCACTTCAGATGTGCGCTGTTCAACATGATGGTTTTGAATTGGTTGAAATATGATTGGAATCACTTCAAGAAGGAAAATAGAGTTAAGTGCAACATATTGTCATATAGGCTACATCAAAGTATAATAAGAAAATAATTATAATTGAATGATTGGGACTTGTTTTTGTAATCAGGCTCTCAAAAATTGTATAAAAAAAATTGGATTTAGATTTAACGGCCAAAATATCGGTTATCGGCTTTCAAATTAAAGAATTATCGGTTATCGGTCAATTTTCATATCATGCATCCCTATTTGGAATGACATGAAGGTGAGTAAATGATGACAAAATTTTATTTTTGGGTGAACTATCCCTTCAAATAAATCTGACAGTCCTGTTTCTTTTCCCAGTTGATATGGAAGAACCTCCCAGCAACTCCGATGGTTTACAGCCTCAGGATCTGTCTGTCCTTCCCAACATCTTCGATCTGACGCGGAACAGAGAGGAATGCCTGTTAAAAGCGAATCCCATCGATGCCTTGCGTGTCGTGCAGACGCCGGGCTGGTTCGTCAATCCTGGGACTAGCAATGGGACGATTCTTCCCGAGAATGACTCTGATTCGCTTCCCACAGAGCAGATCCAACCGGACGATGCTTTTTCCAACACGACTGTCATGCTATCGTACCTGAGCCGGTCGCATGTCTTCGCAGAGCATTCCCCGGTTTACGGGGTGCCTTCGGCGTTCCTTCGTGCCTATGATCCCGGGAAAGACGCGGGAGACACGGGACTCCCGGTGGATGTGGATCAACACCTTCTCCAGCAAGTTTCCGTTCCGGTCGGATTAGCATCTTGTGAGCAGTTCGCCTTCATGTCGCCGGCTCAAGTTGTGGAGAATGTAGCGGCGTTCTGCTATCTTCAACCACCTCCGGATATGGAAAACTTAGCTTTGGAAACGCTCAAGTCTTTACAAGCCAATCCTGGCGAGTGCAAGTTTCCCATCAGCGTAGACGAACTTCAGAATGGAGCTGCTAATGCCCTGTGGAACGTCGGACCCTTCGAGGGAGGGTTCCCGGAGGGCAACTGCACGAATCCAGAGGGATTATGTCCCAACGCAAACCCGGAGCTCGTCTTTCTCATCTCCAGATCCAAGGAGCCGGTCATTTTACCAAACGAACCGGGAGCCGCAAGCTTCGCTGTGTCGTTAAACCAAAACTTCATTGGTCCATTAGATCCCGAATCAACTTCAGGAGAGCAAATGGAAAACGTCTTCACTGATCCCGAATCTTCATCAATAAACCAAATGGAGAATGTGTTCACTGATCCCGAATCTTCTTCAGGAGAGCGAATGGAGAACGTGTTCACTGATCCCGAATCTTCATCAATAAAGCAAATGGAGAATGTGTTCACTGATCCCGAATCTTCTTCAGGAGAGCGAATGGAGAACGTGTTCACTGATCCCGAATCTTCTTCAGGAGAGCGAATGGAGAACGTGTCCACTGATCCCGAATCTTCTTCAGGAGAGCGAATGGAGAATATGTTCACTGATCCCAAATCTTTTTCAGGAGAGCAAATGGAGAACACGTTGATTGATACTGAATCTTCTTCAGGAGAGCAAGTGCAGAACTTGTTCACCGATCCCGAATCTTCTTCAGTAGAGCAAATGGAGAACATGTTGACCGATCCCGAATCTTCTTCAGTAGAGCAAATGGAGAACATGTTGACCGATCCCGAATCAACTTCAGGGGAGCAAATGGAGAACTTGTTCACTGATCCCGAATCAACTTCAGGAGAGCAAATGGAGAACTTGTTCACTGATCCTGAATCAACTTCAGGAGAGCAAATGGAGAACTTGTTCACTGATCCTGAATCAACTTCAGGAGAGCAAATGGAGAACGTGTTCACTGATCCTGAATCAACTTCAGGAGAGCAAATGGAGAACTTGTTCACTGATCCTGAATCAACTTTAGGGGAGCAAAAGGAGAACGTGTTCACTGATCCCGAATCAACTTCAGGAGAGCAAATGGAGAACGTGTTCACTGATCCCGAATCAACTTCAGGAGAGCAAATGGAGAAGTTGTTCACTGATCCCGAATCAACTTCAGGAGAGCAAATGGAGAACGTGTTTACTGATCCGAATCAACTTCAGGAGAGCAAATGGAGAACGTGTTCACTGATCCTGAATCAACTTCAGAAGAGCAAATTGAGAACTTGTTCACTGATCCCGAATCAACTTCAGAAGAGCAAATTGAGAACTTGTTCACTGATCCCGAATCAACTTCAGGAGAGCAAATGGAGAAGTTGTTCACTGATCCCGAATCAACTTCAGGAAAGCAAATGGAGAACGTGTTTACTGATCCCGAATCAACTTCAGGAGAGCAAATGGAAAACTTGTTCACTGATCCTGAATCAACTTCAGGAGAGCAAATTGAGAACTTGTTCACTGATCCCGAATCAACTTCAGGAGAGCAAATGGAGAACTTGTTTACTGATCCTGAATCAACTTCAGGAGAGCAAATGGAGAATGTGTTCACTGATCCCGAATCAACTTCAGGAGAGCAAATGGAGAACTTGTTCACTGATCCCGAATCAACTTCAGGAGAGCAAATGGAGAATGTGTTCACTGATCCCGAATCTTCTTCAGTAGAGCAAATGGAGAACATGTTGACCGATCCTGAATCAACTTCAGGGGAGCAAATGGAGAATGTGTTCACTGATCCCGAATCTTCTTCAGGAGAGCATGTGGAGAATGTGTTCACTGATCCCCGATCTTCTTCAGGAGAGCAAATGGAGAACGTGTTGACGAGCGGAGAAGCCGTTGATGGGAAGCAAAAGCAAGAAAAGGAGTCTGATCTCACAACAGAATTGTCCTGCTACAAATCAACCGAGTCCATCAATGGTGAATCTGCAGATCAAACACACATGGATGCGTTCAAAACAAGCAATGGTTTATCTTCGCCACTCGCCACCAAGAAGACCTTCGAGAGGAAACAACTTCCTCCGAGAGCCCGGAGAGGCATAAGGATGGGAGCCATTGTTCAAAACATCCAACCCATGAGGTACAAATCGAGCCGCGTACGTGCAATAAAACCTCAGACGAGGAAGTCCAAGGAAAACAAGTCCTCCACTTTGTTGGAAAGGATGCATGATGATGCCAAAGAAAAGACAGCATCGCATTTACAGAAAGAACGAACAGAAATCAGACGCTCACGTAGATGCCAAGAAAGATCTTCCTCATCTTCTGCAAAGACTTTAGATGTATTTTACCAATCAGCAAAGAAAAAGACAAGAAACTGTCATTCCGTACCAATCAGTCACCCTGAAATCCCACGAAAAGAAACGACCGCTCACAAACGTCCAACTTCTGCAAAAAAATCTCATGCTAGCAAACGGAAACGAAAGAAACACAAAAGTAAAGTCGACCACACGTCCTTTTTCCAACCGCAGGAACCCGAGATTAAACTCAAATGTCTGAACTGCAAGGAAGAGAAGAAGGAGGTTCGTGACGAGAGCTTTTCGCCGTATGTGCGAGTGCATCTCAAGGACTTTCCCACCTGTACGGTTGTGAACGAACCAGAGAACAAGCGTGGGAAGCGTTCGGCATCTGCTGGGATTGTTTCGGGAATGATGCCTGCAAATCCCGGACTGCAGTACGGTCGAGTTTGTGCGGAAGGCTTGCGGAATGACGTGTTAGTTTGCTGTCTCTGCGGGGGATCGTCGAACGCGAACGACCTCGGAGACTTGCATGGGCCGTATTTCCCTGAAGGCTACAAATCGGCCTCCAAAGTCATTCCCAATCCATCAGAGGAGGAGGATAATAGTGACTCGGATCCGGCTTCTAGAGGCAATTGGACAAATTCTTTCCACGAGTCGAGATGGAACGAGCCGTGTACTAGTCCAACAGCGAAGAAACCTAAGATGGATGCCGCCACTGATTGGTTTAGCCCTCCTGTGGTTCCTCTTGACGCTAACGAACACTGGCTCCATCAGGACTGTGCCGTATGGGCCGCCGGCGTATTTCTGGTTCGGGGGAAACTCTACGGGCTGGAGAAAGCCGTCAGGTTGGCGAAAGTGTCGGTAAGATTTCAGATACACGGATTCTTTAAACGAATAGTTCACCCAAAAATGAAAATTAGCCCATGATTTACTCACCCTGAAGTCATCCTAGGTGTATATGACATTCTTCTTCAGACGAATACAATCGGAGTTATATTAAAAAATGCGTTGGCTCTTCCAAGCTTTATAATGGAAGTCAATTGAAATATTTTTTTGAAAGTCCATCAAAGCGCATCTAATCATAATTAAAGTGCTCCTCAGGCCCCGGGTAGTTATTAAAGGCCTTCTGAAGTGAAAGTGCTATGCATTTGTGTAGGAAAAATATCCATATTTAAAACTTATAGACTAAAATAACTAGCTTCTGTCAGATGGCCTATATAAATCGACTTACACCACAAGAGTAACACTTAACAATGTATGATGTTGGAATAGCGTAAGCTTTGACGCCTCTCGCGGTTCAAACAAACAGGTCTGGGCAACCGCGTTCATCATTATGTTGTGCATCAAGTTCAAGGGTTACTCTATCGCTTTTTAGTCGATAAAGTATTAAATGTGGATATTTTTCTTTTTTAAAGATTTCTTTTTTTTGGTGTTTCTCGTTTATTGGGATAGGACAGTAGCTAGACAGGAAATGATGGAATGGACAGATGCACTTTTATGGACAGATGTACTTTTATGATGGACAGATGCACTTTTATGATGGATAGATGCACTTTTATGATGGATAGATGCACTTTTATGATGGACAGATGCACTTTTATGAAGGATAGATACACTTATGATGGATAGATGCACTTTTATGATGGACAGATGTACTTTTATGATGGATAGATGCACTTTTATGATGGACAGATGCACTTTTATGATGGACAGATGCACTTTTATGATGGATAGATACACTTATGATGGATAGATGCACTTTTATGATGGACAGATGTACTTTTATGATGGATAGATGCACTTTTATGATGGACAGATACACTTTTATGATGGACAGATGCACTTTTATGATGGATAGATGCACTTTTATGATGGACAGATGCACCTTTATGGACAGATGTACTTTTATGATGGACAGATGCACTTTTATGATGGATAGATGCACTTTTATGATGGACAGATGCACTTTTATGATGGACAGATACACTTATGATGGATAGATGCACTTTTATAATGGACAGATGCACTTTTATGATGGATAGATGCACTATTATGATGGACAGATGCACTTTTATGATGGATAGATGCACTTTTATGATGGACAGATGCACTTTTATGATGGACAGATGCACTTTTATAATGGATAGATGCACTTTTATGATGGACAGATCCACTTTTATGATGGACAGATGCTTTTTTATGATGGACAGATGCATTTTTATGATGGATAGATGCACTTTGATGGACTTCCAAAAAATATACCCATTGACTTCCATTGTAAAGCTTGGAAGAGGCCGGATATTTTTTAATATAACTCTGATTGTTTTCGTCTGAAAGAAGAATGTCTTCTACACCTAGGATGGGTTCAGTGTGAGTAAATCATGGGCTGATTTAATTTTTTTGGGTGAACTATCCCTTTAAGATCAAAATCTCTGCTAATTATGACACTGAATTGTTTGTTTCTCCAGGTTTGTTCGACTTGCCAAAAACGGGGAGCAACGTTGGGATGTGTTTTCAAAGGATGCCTGAACAGGTATCACTACATGTGTGCGGTTCAGTCAGGTGAGAGACACTACAAGGACGATGTTGCACAAAACATGCAAAAAAATATAGGGTTAATTTTGCCAGCTAATTTTTAATTAAAGTCCCCCTGTAGTCAATCATTTTATCCCTTGAAACTCATCTTTCATCACCAGTATGACATATTTCTGCAGCCTTTCTTATTTGAAGAAGAAATTGTATGTTTTTTGCTAAAGGTTTTATTTTTAAGCTTCCTTTTTCATCAACAGCATGTTCAGATTTATAGTTTATATATATATATGTGTGTGTGTGTGTGTGTGTGTGTTAGTGATCGACCGATATATCGGCCGGCCGATATATCGGGCCGATATTTGAGGTTTTTACGTGTATCGGAATCGGCCGATACACCGCTGCGCGTTCGCCGATAGTTTTTTTTTCCCCGCCGTTATTTATAGACAGGCGGCCACGGGCAGCTCCGTGCTGCTGGAGATGCTGCAGTTCACGTGCCCCGCCCTCCTCCACTAGCAGAGTGCAACCTGCTCTTCACGAGATAAACTTTCAAAGGATCTTTTAAATGTTTGACTCCTGAAATATTGTCAAACACTTTGAAAATGGAAAAACGTCGCCCTATAACTGTTATGTGCTTGCAACTAAGCAAGTTTGTGGGTCCAAATGGAAAACGCGAATGCCTCGTCTATAAAACTTAACTGCTTGCCATTGTATTAAGAAGCTGCAAATAGTTAAGGTGTAGGTTATCCGTTCAGTATGCATTAGGACTGTCTATGAATATTCTACATTCGAATATCTATTAATTTTGAAGGTGAAAATTAATATTTGAATGTGGAAAAACACGCCCGCGGTTGCAGACTAATAACGTTACCACGGCTGCACAGCTCGCTCGGAGCGCTCACTGTCGGTTCTATACTGTGAAACTTCAATCACTGAATGAACTGAAGCCTGCTATATTTGGGACAAGAGTCGCGACTCGCAACCTTAAATTGCTTGCACAAAACTCTTGTTTAGCACTCAACATTTGTTTGTTGTTCATTTAACCGACGCGCAGAGACCGTGAGGGCGAGAGAGAGAGAGAGAGAGTGCCTGAGCGAGTCCAGGGCGAGACAGAGTGAGCTCTGCGGTCTTGGCCATTAGTTGATTTACTTGCTTTTTAATACGTTGTCAAATATGTTTAAACTCAAATAAACCATCTAATACTAGTAGTTATGTCTCTTTTTATTAATGTGTCCTGTTATTGATGTAATGCGCGTCAACAACAAAACGCGCAACGGGATGTTCGAATATGTTTTTTAGAGGGAATATGCAAACGCCATTTGAGCAATTTTGACAGTATGCATACGGTAACGAACTCTGGTCATAGGATTAAGGAATGCCAACGTTATTCTGTGCTTTTTGTGGGAGATTTATTCAGCGCTCACCTGGCTGAGGTTTGGGGCGTGTGGAGTTTGTCTCCCTCGCAATCGCAGTAGGCTAATATTAGAGACTAGACATGCTCATTTTATTTTATGTAGGAAAATTGAAACCATGCAGTACATAGTTCGTTTCTTTTAAAATGAATTACAGTGTGCACTGTGCACTTTATTATGCTGGTTGCTACTCTGTGCAATAGTGTAATTATTTAATTTATGCTTAAATATTCATTTTCAGCACTGAACTTTTTTTGTTCTACTTCATGTTTTTCATATTTTTTAAATTGTTTATCTACTTGTTCTTGTTCTACCTCACATGTTTTTACTATTTGTTAAATATTATTTTTTGAAGTTAGTTAAATGTTACTTTTATTAAATTGAGACCTGTAACATTTGTTAACATCATGTTATTTTTAAGATGTAAATTGAGGGAGCAAAATGTATCGGCTCCAAATATCGGCTCAAGAAAATCGGCAGCCCGTATCGGTCATCGGCTAAGGCTGATGGGAAAAAAATCGGTATCGGTATCGGCACTAAAAAATCCATATCGGTCGATCCCTAGTGTGTGTGTATTATGTGTATTTTTTCTGTTCTGAATTGGATTTAAACCTGTAAATCTTGGAGTTTACCATTAGAAATTTTAAAACCGTTAGAGATTTTCATTATGATTCTCTATTATCTTCCTAAAGGGTTTTTATTTTTCTTTGTTTATTTGTTTTGTTGTTCACTTAATTCTCTTCAGGACTAATTGATGTGTTTCTTCATCTTTATTATAGGTTGTGTATTAAATGAGGATAATTTCTCAATGAAATGCAGAAAGCACAAGGTATATGTATCATTTTTTTCGACCTTTTTCTAGATGACATTGTAAAATATTTAAAGTCCCCCTGTACTCAATCATTGTATCCCTAAACCACATCTTTGATCACCACACTGACATATTTAATCGTTTTCATCTTCATGCCTTAAAATATCTTGAATGTAACTCGACACCCTCGCCTCATTTAGTATGCGCGGTTCTATGAATATGCAAATGAGCCTCCACTTACTCAGAGATCCACTGGTTGTCGATCACACGTTGATCTGATTGGTTACAAGGTGGTTTGTGACGTCAGAAACACCAGCGTGTTTTTGAGACTGTCTTTGGTTCACTGCAGTTTTCAGGAGGAAATACTCAGCAATGCTGTCCATTTATCAACTTACACACGGTGTGTGTGTTAAAGCAGATTAAAATGGACTTATAAACAAGCTGGATTCCACCACAGGGGGACTTTTTAGTATTATATTTGTATATTTATTTTTAATTGAGTATTTTAAAATTAAGATGCTCAATATTGTGCTTTTTTGTCATTTTTCCCTTGATGCATTAGAACAAGTCCATTAAAGGGTCATCATATGGTCAGATCAACAGGTGACACTGGAGGACGAGGTTTGTGCTCCATTATAACACACTTCTCCTCATGTCCTGTCTCCAATGTTTCTTTTCACAACATGCACATAAATCAAAAGTATATGCATGCGTTTTATGTTAGTTTGATTCACGCTCTTTATATAGTCTGCATTTATGTTTATATATTTAACACGAATCGTTCGTCTTTCTGCATTTTTCAGAGAGTGAGAAAAAATCATAATTTTTAATTTAATTAAGAATTTTTATTTTTGCATTCAAAAATAATGTAAAATATCATTAAACAAAACATTTACAAACATCATTAACACTAAACGTATTTTAGTATTTAGTCCAGCAAATCTATTTTAATGTTATTCAAGGAACACTTTACAGTAAGCTGATGTTTATCAATGCATTAACTAATAATGAGCTGTAATAATGAATTGTTCGTTCATATTCGCTCAGATCCACTGAACAATATGAACAGATATGACTTTAGTAAATGTCGATATGAACATGCTTTAGAAGAGTTTCTGTTAGTTCATGTTAACTCTTTCCTCGCCCATTGACACGTTTGTCCAGTGTTCACAGTTATACTGTAGGGGGCGCTATTACACATCTACTGAGAGAGTACAGAATCTCCTGATATCATATTTAATCATATGCATATGTAAAATAACACGCTCATCAACATTAAACGGCATATAAATCAAAACTGCCAAATGTTACAGAATAAAACGTCGGTGCTTTTTAATAAAACTCACATTCAAGTGTTGATAAAAAAAGAATGCATGAAGCTTAAATTAAACGGGTTCATTTGTTTAAAAGGGTCTGTTCTTTCTTTTGATATACTGCATGTTCAGATATTCATATAACGAAATATTGCTGGGGCTGTGAAAATGATCAAAACGCTGGCGGGGAAAGAAAGAGTTAACTAATGTAATTACAATAAGTTTTCATTGGTTAATATAAGTAAAGTGTTACCGCTATACAGAACAGGTATAAAAAAATAAAAGTATAACACAAACAAATTATAGTGGGATTTATTATAAGCGCCAAGCCTATTAAATCTAAACTGATCTGAAACTAAAAATATGCACTATACAGGTGAAACTGAAGACATTAGAATATGGTCCAAAAGTTCATTTATTTCAGTAATTCAACTTAAACGATGAAACTAATATATTATATAGACTCATTACATGCAAAGTGAGATATTTCAAGCCTTTATTTGGGGTTTTCATATCTGTAATCCATAATCATCACAATTATAACAAATAAAGGTTTGAAATATCTGACTTTGAGTCTATATTAGTTTTACATTGTAAGTTGAATTACTGAACTTTTGCATGGTTAAATAAAAAAAATAATAATGAAATCTCTCATTCTGCTCGAATCCAAATGTGTGTTTTAAAGCATTTCAATGGTGTTGTATTTCCTCCCGTAGAGCGCGTTTGACCTCTGACCTCCAGCTGTTCCTGCGGGACCTTCAGAAGCGAAGGCCGTGACGATCATCGGCTCCGGCACACGAGACGCGGCGCTCCGCGAGAGTCCAGGAGACAGACCTCAGATCAGCCTTCAGTCGCCAGATTCTCACAATATGGGTTTTCATATTTATATCTGGGGGGGGGGGGGGGGGGATTGTTAAATAATTCTTTCTTTTTGTTAAATCATTTTTTTTGTTTATATGTCTTAATTTATGAACTGAATTTTAAATGTACGGCTTGTCAGAATGTAAATCCCTCTTCATAACCATCACTATATATTCAGTCCAGAAGCGGAAGTGAAGGAACATGACGACAGCCGGGTTACAAAAGCTTGATCAGCACTTTCTGTTTAAAAACAAATGTTTTCTTTTGTCTGAGATGATTTTATTAATTTCTGAATGCAAGGCCAAAATTCTGGTGTTTTATCCACCGATTCTTCCTGTTTGACGTCGCATTTACACACTTCAATCCCCCTGAACGTGATCCACATCTAATGTGCATACGTGACGTGTATTGTAAGAAATGCTGAATATTACTGTTCCACAGAAATCTGAATATACTGCCAGTGGATGTCCTAGTGCACTTAAATACGTCTAATCCTCGTGCAAACGGATTATAAGTATAAGGACACGTTATCTCGATGACCTTTTTTGCTCATCTTCAGAATGCATTGAACAATAAGCAGAGTATTTCCATTCAACATTTATAAGATGCTGAACTTCTTTTTTTATATTAAAAATGACTTTCTTAATTTGTTGTTGCTTTGCTAAGACAAATCAGTGTATTTATGATTTATTTTCACCCAGCACTTCTTTTATTTGTAATGAAAGACACGGGGATCTGATGAACTGACTCAGTTTGTGCCAAACTTCTGTGCAAATGAGTTTGTTTTTCTCACTTGAATGAATTGTCATGTTTTAGCCTCACACCAAATGCGCCAAAAACCATTTTTTGTTTGGTGTTGTGTTTCTAAAATGTATTAAATCTTACTCTCAGGGTTGAGCAGGGTTCTTTTGTGTTGTTGTCCACATAATGTATTTATCTTGAACTGACTGAACCGAGCTGGTCAGTGTAATAAACTGGCTTCTGTTATTTTGCCTAACATGATTCTGGTCTCATTTGTATTTGCTGCTCATATGGCTGATTAATATGACTGCATTTTCACATGTTTTTAGCCAGAGACTCAAACCTGCAAAAATAAACATGTGCACATTTTAGTCGAGATTTATTTCCGAATAAATCTGACCTTACAGGAAGACAGTTGTATTGCAAAGACAGGGTTTCAGAGTGTGTTGCCGACAGCTAAACCGTCCCGAACCAGAACTATCAACAGAACCCAGAGACGATCGAGCCACAGCACAGAGTGAGCAACCGGAACATGTTCTGGAAGAGTAACAGTTGAGGTAATGGCCCTCTATCAAAACCCAGAGAAAAACTTATTTTTTCGCACAAAAAAGAAAAAACGACAGGGGTAACACTGACGACAGTGTTACCCCTTACGTTTTTTTTTCTGGTCGAAATTTTGATTTTCGATATCTCAGCTCAGGAAGGGTCTAGAGCCTCCATTTTTGCACTCAGGTTTAAGTCTCATGGCCCTCTATCAGAATCCAGAGTTTTGAGAAGATTGGGGATACTTAATTTTTCACCCAAAAAAAAAAAACGTAAGGGGTAACACTGTCGTCTTTTTTTCTGGTCGAAATTTTGAGTTTCGATATCTCAGCTCAGAAAGGGTCTAGAGCCTCCATTTTTGCACTCAGGTTTAAGTCTTATGGCCCTCGATCAGAATCCAGAGTTTTGAGAAGATTGGGGGTACTTAATTTTTCGCCCAAAAAAAAAACGTAAGGGGTAACACTGTCGTTTTTTTTTTCTGGTCGGAATTTTGAGTTTCAATATCTCAGCTCTGGAAGGGTCTAGAGCCTCCATTTTTGCACTCAGGTCTAAGTCTCATGGCCCTCTATCAGAATCCAGAGTTTTGAGAAGATTGAGGATACTTAATTTTTCGCCCAAAAAAAAAAACATAAGGGGTAACACTGTCGTTTTTTTTTTCTGGTCAAAATTTTGATTTTCGATATCTCAGCTCTGGAAGGGTCTAGAGCCTCCATTTTTGCACTCAGGTCTAAGTCTCATGGCCCTCTATCAGAATCCAGAGTTTTGAGAAGATTGGGGATACTTAATTTTTCACCCAAAAAAAAAAAACGTAAGGGGTAACACTGTCGTTTTTTTTTCTGGTCGAAATTTTGAATTTCGATATCTCAGCTCTGGAAGGGTCTAGAGCCTCCATTTTTGCACTCAGGTCTAAGTCTCATGGCCCTCTATCAGAATCCAGAGTTTTGAGAAGATTGGGGATACTTAATTTTTCGCCCAAAAAAAAAAAAACGTAAGGGGTAACACTGTCGTTTTTTTTTTGGTCGAAATTTTGAGTTTTGATATCTCAGCTCTGGAAGGGTCTAGAGCCTCCATTTTTGCACTCAGGTCTAAGTCTCATGGCCCTCTATCAGAATCCAGAGTTTTGAGAAGATTGGGGATAATTAATTTTTCTCCCCAAAAAAAAAAACGTAAGGGGTAACACTGTCGTTTTTTTTTTTGGTCGAAATTTTGAGTTTCGATATCTCAGCTCTGGAAGGGTCTAGAGCCTCCATTTTTGCACTCAGGTCTAAGTCTCATGGCCCTCTATCAGAATCCAGAGTTTTGAGAAGATTGGGAATACTTAATTTTTCACCCAAAAAAAAAAAACGTAAGGGGTAACACTGTCGTTTTTTTTTTCTGGTCGAAATTTTGAGTTTCGATATCTCAGCTCTGGAAGGGTCTAGAGCCTCCATTTTTGCACTCAGGTCTAAGTCTCATGGCCCTCTATCAGAATCCAGAGTTTTGAGAAGATTGGGGATACTTAATTTTTCGCCCAAAAAAAAAAAAACGTAAGGGGTAACACTGTCGTTTTTTTTTCTGGTCGAAATTTTGATTTTCGATATCTCAGCTCTGGAAGGGTCTAGAGCCTCCATTTTTGCACTCAGGTTTAAGTCTCATGGCCCTCTATCAGAATCCAGAGTTTTGAGAAGATTGGGGATACTTAATTTTTCGCCCAAAAAAAAAACGTAAGGGGTAACACTGTCGTTTTTTTTTTTCTGGTCGAAATTTTGATTTTCGATATCTCAGCTCTGGAAGGGTCTAGAGCCTCCATTTTTGCACTCAGGTCTAAGTCTCATGGCCCTCTATCAGAATCCAGAGTTTTGAGAAGATTGGGGATACTTAATTTTTTCGCCCAAAAAAAAAAACGTAAGGGGTAACACTGTCGTTTTTTTTTTCGGGTCGAAATTTTGAGTTTCGATATCTCAGCTCTGGAAGGGTCTAGAGCCTCCATTTTTGCACTCAGGTCTAAGTCTCATGGCCCTCTATCAGAATCCAGAGTTTTGAGAAGATTGGGAATACTTAATTTTTCACCCAAAAAAAAAAAAACGTAAGGGGTAACACTGTCGTTTTTTTTTTCGGGTCGAAATTTTGAGTTTCGATATCTCAGCTCTGGAAGGGTCTAGAGCCTCCATTTTTGCACTCAGGTCTAAGTCTCATGGCCCTCTATCAGAATCCAGAGTTTTGAGAAGATTGGGGATACTTAATTTTTCGCCCAAAAAAAAAAAACGTAAGGGGTAACACTGTCGTTTTTTTTTTCTGGTCGAAATTTTGATTTTCGATATCTCAGCTCTGGAAGGGTCTAGAGCCTCCATTTTTGCACTCAGGTTTAAGTCTCATGGCCCTCTATCAGAATCCAGAGTTTTGAGAAGATTGGGGATACTTAATTTTTCGCCAAAAAAAAAACGTAAGGGGTAACACTGTCGTTTTTTTTTCGGGTCGAAATTTTGAGTTTCGATATCTCAGCTCTGGAAGGGTCTAGAGCCTCCATTTTTGCACTCAGGTCTAAGTCTCATGGCCCTCTATCAGAATCCAGAGTTTTGAGAAGATTGGGGATAATTAATTTTTCACCCAAAAAAAAAACGTAAGGGGTAACACTGTCGTTTTTTTTTCTGGTCGAAATTTTGAGTTTCGATATCTCAGCTCTGGAAGGGTCTAGAGCCTCCATTTTTGCACTCAGGTCTAAGTCTCATGGCCCTCTATCAGAATCCAGAGTTTTGAGAAGATTGGGAATACTTAATTTTTCACCCCCCAAAAAAAACGTAAGGGGTAACACTGTCGTTTTTTTTTTCTGGTCGAAATTTTGAGTTTCGATATCTCAGCTCTGGAAGGGTCTAGAGCCTCCATTTTTGCACTCAGGTCTAAGTCTCATGGCCCTCTATCAGAATCCAGAGTTTTGAGGAGATTGGGGATAATTAATTTTTCACCCAAAAAAAAAAAAACGTAAGGGGTAACACTGTCGTTTTTTTTTCGGGTCGAAATTTTGAGTTTCGATATCTCAGCTCTGGAAGGGTCTAGAGCCTCCATTTTTGCACTCAGGTCTAAGTCTCATGGCCCTCTATCAGAATCCAGAGTTTTGAGAAGATTGGGGATAATTAATTTTTCACCCAAAAAAAAAACGTAAGGGGTAACACTGTCGTTTTTTTTTCTGGTCGAAATTTTGAGTTTCGATATCTCAGCTCTGGAAGGGTCTAGAGCCTCCATTTTTGCACTCAGGTCTAAGTCTCATGGCCCTCTATCAGAATCCAGAGTTTTGAGAAGATTGGGAATACTTAATTTTTCACCCCAAAAAAAAAACGTAAGGGGTAACACTGTCGTTTTTTTTTCTGGTCGAAATTTTGAGTTTCGATATCTCAGCTCTGGAAGGGTCTAGAGCCTCCATTTTTGCACTCAGGTCTAAGTCTCATGGCCCTCTATCAGAATCCAGAGTTTTGAGAAGATTGGGGATACTTAATTTTTCGCCCAAAAAAAAAAAACGTAAGGGGTAACACTGTCGTTTTTTTTTCTGGTCGAAATTTTGAGTTTTCGATATCTCAGCTCTGGAAGGGTCTAGAGCCTCCATTTTTGCACTCAGGTTTAAGTCTCATGGCCCTCTATCAGAATCCAGAGTTTTGAGAAGATTGGGGATACTTAATTTTTCGCCCAAAAAAAAAAAACGTAAGGGGTAACACTGTCGTTTTTTTTT